CAGCATCCTGGCATGAGGAAGTTTCCATTTATCTCTGACAAAATTAGAAATATTTGGAAAGGTAGTATTTCCTATAAAGTTGCATTTGCTCTACTTAAAGGACTGCCTAATTTTCCGGGATTATCTTCTTTCCTCTTTTATGGTGTTAAAAATAGTCCTTTCAACCTTATATCAACTTTTCACTCTCCAAATGCCACTCTTTTTAAAATTATTATTTCAACGGTTTACAAAAACCAAAAGTCTGGGGAATGGTTAGTCTCTACGTCCTCACTTCCTGAATTCACACATTCCTCAAAGACTTGTCATCTAGTTCCTACCCTCACTACGTGACTGAAGTTGTACGAGAAAGGTCACCGTGACCTAGGAGTTTTCTAAATCCAAGGACACTCCTCGGTCTTAATCTTACTTTACCCCACAGCATTTCACACTGGGATTATTATCTCCTCCTCCTTCTTCTTCTTCTAGATTTTATTCATTTATTTTCAGAGAGAGGGGAAGGGAGGGAGAAAGAGAGGGAGAGAAACATCAAGCTCACATACCCCAACTGGGGACCCGGCCTGCAACCCAGGCATGTGCCATGACTGGGAATTGAACCAGCAACCTTTCGGTTCACAGGCCAGCACTCAATCCACTGAGCCACACCAGCCAGGGCCCTGTCTTTTTAACACTCTTCACTCATTAACGAATTATTTGTTAATTCATTTAAAACAATAACCCTGAAAAAATAATTACATTTTCCCAGATGATAATAAATTGATGAGAAGAATGGCTTTGTTTTACACACTTTTGGAAATCCCTTTAATATCTGGCTTAACGAAAAAAAGCCAGCTGGATTTTGTGTTTCCACATTTAAACTGTTGTGATAGGCCAGGACACCACTGCGGTCTCTGGAAAGCTCCACACACACTCATGAAAGAACAAGAGTGACACAGGTAAGTCAAGCGGTGTTATGGAAATGTTTCCTTTTTCCTCTCAGGAAGGGTCTCAGGGAGACCCCCAAGGATCCCCACACACTCTGAGAGCCACTGATCTAAAGGATATCTGAAGACTTGTGGACAAGTATCACATTGTACAGTAATCCCTTTACTTGCAAATTGACCCTGGGACCAGAGTGTAAAGTCCACTGTAGTTTATGTTTTCTTGTCTCCAGTACACACCATTGCTTGGTTAAGGTTGCCTCTATTTGTTACCATCTTGATGGCTGATAAGGCTTAAAGGTGAGACCACCAGGGGGCACCCGGATTTGAACCGGGGACCTCTTGATCTGCAGTCAAATGCTCTACCCCTGAGCTATACCCACTTTGCTGGGGAGGGTGAGATTACAGTTTAATTGTAGAGTTTACTGACCAGACATGTCTCAGATGATTAATAGCAGTTTGGTATTTGTGATCAACTGCTTCAGATTTCCCGGAGAGATACTAAAGAACCAAAAAAAGATTGCAGAAGCAATCAGGAAAGTTCTGGAAGAAAAGAGCAAAGTCTGCTTTGGCCCATGCTTGAAGGTCCTGTGGGTGTGTGCGATGGTATTCCTTTCCTATATTAACTATACAGCCTTTTCTACCGCTGGTATCTGGGAATTCTCCAAGATTAATTTCCATCCTGCCTGTCTGCAACCTGGGCTGCACCCCAGTACTTTGCACGAGGAACTGCTCCCCTTGGCTTTCCCAAGAGCCTCTCTGTTCCTGTACCAGAGGTGCCCCCATTTTCTCCATTCTCGGCAGTATCTTAGTTGCTTCCTCCTCTTCCTTGGCTTCTACAAATACCAACAGGTTTCCCCTAAATTAAAAAAAAAACAAAGATCCACCCTGCCTGATGCGTTTCAGTGGGTTGAGTGCTGGACCTGTGAACCAAAAGGTTGCCGGTTGGATTCCCAGTTGAGGCACGTGCCTGGGTTGCAGGCCAGGTCTCTGGTTGGGAGCATGTGAGAGGCAACTCGCCACAGGTCAGTGTTTCTCTTCCTCTTTCTCCCTCCCTTCCCCTCTCTCTAAAAAAATAAATAAAACCTTCAAGAATCCTTTAACAAATTTCCTGTCCATTTCTTCTTTCTCACTACTGATTTTTTAAAAAGTCTGTACTTCATTTTTCTCATTTTCAGCTACATTTCTCTGCAGTTCTGCTACTCTGCATTTGCTTCGACTGTCACTCATCTTCCCCCCCCCCCTTGCTGTATATACATTGTTTCTCCACCTAGACTGTAAGTTCCTTGCGGGTAGGGTCATGTTGCATTCTTTTTTGTGTTCCCCACAGTAGTTGGTACAGTGCCTGGTTCCCTATAAGTCCTGGGTCCTACTTCATGGCCAAACCACAATCCTAATTAAACTCAGTATCTGATTACAAGCCTGGATGTCATTGGAGGAAAGCTTACAAGCCTGTGTCACTCTTACGGTCTCAGATGGTCTCTCTGTCTAATACTCCTACACCAACGACTGACCAGGTTCACTTTCTCACTCTCCAAAATGACCATGACAAACACTTTCCCTGTCTCAAACCTTCCACACCTTATCTCCCTTCACTGGCTCTGTCTTAGCTGAAGAGCTTGCCGCTTTCTTTCTGGAGAAAACGAGAATCAGTCAGAAGCCGTGGTGTGCTGACAAATGGCTCAAACAGCTGGCTCTGGGGAACTGGATTTCCCAAGGAGCAAATACTCCCACCTGCTGATGTTAAGCTACTGAAGAGAAGTTGATTGGCTTTAAAAATCCCTGAAAATTTATCCATTGGTTCTTACTAGCTAGCAGGTAAGAATTGAATCTAGCACACTTCTGGAATCAACTACCTCCTTCAACAACTACCAACTGTGCTCTGATGACTGCCCAAAATCTGTTCCCAACCTGGACCTGTCCCTGAAATCCAGAATTAATTGGATCTCTAACTGCGTACTTACCCCCTCCTCTTAAATGTCTATGGGGCATATCAAACTTAACATGTGGATTCCATACTAGAATGTGGAGTCCATGAGGATAGGAAGCTGTACTTTATTACTATCTGTTTAAGGGTTTGAAAAAGAAGCTATTGATTTTTGTTTCCTAAATGTACTCTTTTCCCAGACTTCTTTATTTCAGGAAATCACATCACCATCCACCCTGACAGTGAAGACAAAAAAATAAGTCATTCCTGGTTCTCCTCGCCCCCTCATGGTCTCCAAGCTATCCGACGTACACGGAGCACAAAACCCCTCCCTGGGCACGGTTAATCCGGATGCTGGCACAGCTCTCCAGCTCTGCTCTTCCCATTGTGGTAGGCTAAAAATGGCCCTCCATGTATTCCCACATCCCAGTCCCCTTGAGAGTATGCTACCTTCCAGGATAAAAGGGACTTTGCAGAAGGGATTAGATTAAGGATCTTAAAATGGGGAGATTATTCTGGATTATCTGGGTGAGCTCAATGTAATCACAAGGATCCTAATTAGAAGGAGGCAGGAGGATCAGAGTCAGAGACAGAAAGAAGATGTGAGAACAGAAACAACCCTGGCTGGTGTAGCTCAGTGGATTGAGCACAGACCTGCAAATCAAAGGGCCGCTGGTTCGATTCCCAGTCAGGGCACATGTGTCCTGGTCCCCAGTTGGGGGTACTTGAGAAGCAACCAACACACTGATGTTTCTCTCCCTCTCTTTCTCCCTGTCTTTCTCCTTCCCTTCCCCTCCCTAAAAATAAGTAAATAAAATCTTAAAAAGTAGAGACCAGAGGATGAGAAGATGCTACTCATCTGGCTTTGTAGATGGAGGAAGAGACCCTGAGTCAAAAAATGCAGGCAGCCTCTACAAGCTACAAAAATCAAGGAAACTGATTCTCTCCTAAAACCTCCAGAAGGACTGCAGGCCTGCCAGCACCTCAATTTTAGCCCACCAAGGTTGATTTTGGAATTCTGACCTCCGGAACTGTAGGATAATACATTTGTATTGTTTTAAGCATCTGCATGTGTGGTAATTTGTTACAGCAGCAACAGGACACTAAAATAACACGCCTGTGGTTTAAGACGTCACCACCAGCTCTCAATAGAATCCCAACCTGCCTCTCTGTGCCCACTCTTTCGTTCCTTTTAATTGTGATAAGAACACTCAGCATGACATCTAGCCTCTCAACAGATTTTTCAACATACAGTACAGTACTGTTAACTATAGGCACAGTGTTGCACAGCAGATCTCTAGAACTTACTCACCTTGCAAAATTGTAACTTAATACCCATTGATTAGCAACTATCCATTTCCCTCTCTTCATCCCTGGCAACCACAGTTCCACTCTCTGCTTCTGTGAATTGGACTGTTTAGGTACCTCATGTAAGTGGGATCATGTAGTATTTGTCCTTCTATTCTACGATTGGCTTCTTTCACGCTGCATAATGTACCATGTTCTCACATATTGCAGGATCCTCTTTTTAAGGGTAATATTCTCTACATCTATTTTTGACTTCTTATAAATCTTTTCTCCTTTTCTTTTTGATGGAAGATGATTTAATTCTTCAAGACGCTAAAAACAGATGGAACATGTTTTGCTGTGAACACTTCATAGAGATGAAGTGAAGCAGCGGTTCGGTGTATTTTTTATTTTTTAATAGAATCAGTAGCCCTGGCTGGGTGGCTCAGCTTGTTGGATCGTCTTCCCGATATGCCAAGGTCGCATGGCTGATCCCGGGTCAGAGCATATACAAGAAGCAACCAGTGAATGCATCAGAGGGTAGATCTCTCAAACCAGTGCATTTTAAAAATTCAAGTTACTTTAAAAAATGAGCCCTGGCTGGTGTGGTTCAGTGGATTGAGTGCCAGCCTGCGGACCAAAAGGTTGATGGTTCGATTCCCAGTCAGGGCACATGCCTGGGTTGCAGGCCGGGTCCCCATGGGGGGATGTGCAGGAAGCAACTGATTGATGTATCTCTATCGAATCAATATTTCTCTCCCTCTTTGTCCCTCCCTCTCCTCTGTCTGAAAATAAATAAAATCTTTCTTAAAAAAAATGAAATAAAAAAGAATTAATACAGTGATGGAAGGGTAAAGAATGCAAGAATAAAAAACAGGGACTGCTTCAGGAGTCTGGGCGTCATCCTCACGTAGGGCCATGATAATCTCTCCTGCATGGTCTCGGTTTTAGTGTGTGTGCCGCTAACGCGGGCACCCCACAACTCTTTTCCACAGGAGTGTGGGAGATGATTTCCAGTCCCTCTGCTCAAAATTGTCCATTGCTGGCTTTTCATCCATTCCGAGTAAAATCCAAGCCCCTTACCTTGGCCTACAGGGCCCTCTCCAGTCCTCTTGAATTGCTCTCCCCTTGTTCACCTTCCTCTAGCCACTCTGGGCCCAGGGCCTTTGTAGCAGCCATTTCTTCTGCTTGGAAGCTTCCGTGTCTCCACCCCTGCCATTCAGGTCTGAACTCCAAAATCACCTGCACAGAGAGGTCTTCCGTGGTTCAAGGTTCTCCAACCTGAAGTAGCATCCCCCTTGTACCTTCCTGATGCAGAATCCTGTGTGTGGGGGGGTTGTTGTTGTTGATGTTTTCTGTTTTTAAATCTATTTTACTATTTCCTGTATCACTCCTGGACATTTCCTTGTTCACCTATTTGTGCATTTGTTTCCAGTCTGTCTCTGCTGGATTTTAAATTCAGTGTGAATCAGAACCTTTGTGTCTTTCTGCTGAACGTATGCCCGGTAACCAGAGTGAGGCACATAGTAGTTGCTCCAGGAAAAGAGAGAGGCACCCCTGGCAGGGGCGTTCGACCCGTAGCCCACGGGCCACGTGCAGCCCAGGACGGCTAGGAATGCGGCTCAACACAAAATCATAAATTTACTTAAAACCTTTTTTTTTTTTTGCTCATCAGTTTTCGTTACTGTTTGTGTATTTAACGCGTGGCCCAAGACAATGCTTCTTCCAGTGTGGCCCACAGATGCCAAAGTTTGGACACCTCTGCTAGAGAGAATAGCCAGGGAAAGTCTCCCAGTAAAAATGTGTTTGTATTCTTTTTAGAGCCGAGGGGAAAGGCTTCCCTCTGAAGCTGGTTGTTCTTTCACCTCTTAGGGCAAACTGGCTCATGGGTGGGACTGCGGATAGAGAATTTAGCCCAGAAAAGGGTGGATTGGTACCCAAGTTCACATGTTTTGAGTTGGTCTTTTCCTTTTGTTCCTCATCAGAAGGAAACTCAGTATCATTTAGTGAGAAATATCTAATTCTGAACAAATAATTTCATCACAAAAAATTAGAATTAGTGTAAAAAGAATTTATCAAATAATTGTTAGCAAAAACAACATAGGTAGGAGGGGGTATAGCTCAGTGGCAGAGCGTTTGACTGCAGGTTAGGAGGTTCCTGGTTCATATCCCGATGCCCCCTCACTTGCTTTTCACATTTTCTCAGTCGCTCAGATGTAACCCTAGAAAACTGACTCTGTCTCTAGTTTCCTAGGACTCACTTGTCTATTCTACCTTCCTAGCTTTCCCCAATGGTGAGCCACCAAGAGATTGCACACGGATGATTTACTGCTTCTAACCCGCGTTCCTATGCTCAGTAGTGAGAAGCCCATCGCTACCTTAAATAGGTAGAAAGGAAGCAACAACTCTTCCCATCTCTTAAAACTATTCAAGACTCATTGGCCTCAGAGATGGACGGGCAATGTCATTTTGTTTAGTTCGTACTCTGACCCATTACACTAGAAGGATGAATTCAAACTCAAGTTTATATAGTTGCAAAGTTTAAACAAGACACCCAGCGATGTAAGATAAAAGGTGAAAAGTGTACAGCTTTCTCCTTCATATTAGCTCAAAGACAAGCCTTTGGCCAGATAACCTACAGGTAGTAAGTTTCAGGCCTTGCTTCCAGGAAAGGGGTGAAAAGTTGGTTATCTCTAGGGTCTGGGCTTTGCACCAGGACCGCAGCTCTGCCCATGTCCATTCTCAAGACTCACAGTAATGGGAGCCGTGGGGAAAAATGCACGGTAGTGCTCCCCCGGGGCCTGGAGGGACGACACAGATTCCTGGTTTAAAATATCACAGCTGCCCCCTGACCCAAGCAGCATGCCTCTCCCTTTCGCCTTTAGTTTTCCTTTTTTGGGGCAAAACCTAGTCGAAGGGGAAGCCCTTACTCCCTTCACATTTACTTTTGTTTTTCATACTGTCAGTGATTCAACCAACAAATATCTGTCCCTACCTTTAGGTTATGAAACTCTATAGACCTGTATTACTAGTTTAGCAGATCTCGAAGTATGGTCCCCTGACCAGCAGCCTCAACATCACTGGGGAACTTGTCAGAAATGCAAATTCTCGGGAGCCCACTCCAGGCCTACAGAATCAGAAACTGGGGGCGTTTTAACAAGCCCTCGAGGTAGTTCTGATGCACTCAAGTCTGAGAACCACTGCCTTTATGTCAGTCTGAATGAGCAGATAACTTTATTTTTGTAAATTAAAGTGAGTTTATGGGTGTGCAATGGGCATTTTAACGTTTTCCAAAGTGCCTTGACTCTGTCTGCCTGTGTTATGAGCCTTGGGGAAGGATGAACTGGTAATAAAGAAAGTTGAAGTTGGAGAAAGGCCGTATCTGTGGGTTTCTTTCTTTTGACCCACCCACAGCCCCATCGGAAACGGAACGCCAACCTGAGACAGTCATTTCGTCCCCGGAGCCTGCGGGCGGGGAAATCCCGACACCTCCGGAGCCAGCAATCCTGCAGCTTCTGTACCTGATTTGGGCACGTAACCCGCTTCCTCCTTCTGCTAGGTACAAAGCAAAACTGAAAGCTTTCCGCTAAGGTTGGAATATGAGAAAGGAATTTTTGAAAAACCATTTCTGTTTTCATCTAGGGCCCAATGTTAAAAAGATTAAGAGAGACTGAACTATATTCGTTACGGAGAAGAAAAACCATCCAGGGGGCACCCGGATTTGAACCAGGGACCTCTTGATCTGCAGTCAAATGCTCTACCACTGAGCTATACCCCCGCGCCACTCTAGCGCTTGGAGATACATCTTTGGATATTAGGACCCTGGGTCGCAGGGTGGTTAATAAGAGTAAGGCGGAAGGAATGAAGGAGGAGAGGGGGGCAAGCGGAGAGCGGAAGGTGCCTGAATCCAGAGAACCCCGGGAAAGCTGCACTGCTGGGCCTCGGGGAGGAAAGAACGAGCTCGGACTGCGAGACGCCGAGTACGGGCGGGAGGAACGGGTTCCGCCCTGCATAAGTGGGAAAGGATACGGGGGGAAGGGAGGCTAACCGAGGGGCGGGGCAAGGGGGTTCCCGTTCTGTCCGTAGATTCACACAGATGGGTACAAAGGAAAGTCCCCGAGTCCGGTGAATCCGATCGGGCGTTCCGGAGGTTCCAACCCCACCCTGGACAGTTGCGGGAGGTTTCCCCGTCTCCCTCAGCCCGGGCGCCCAGATGTTTAGCCAGACCAGCTTCAGCCGCCTGCAGCACGGGATGGGCTCTGGGTGAAGCGGCGTCTCTCCAGGGCGCCTCGGGCTTGGGAGCACCTGGGCGCGCACCCCGGGCCCCGCAGCCCTACCCGGAAGCCGCCCTCGCGCAGCCCCAGGTCCCTCCGGGAGCGCGCCTGCCCGCACGCGCCCCTGCCCGCGCCCGCGCCCGCGGCGCGTCCCCGCCCCGGTGCAGCCCCTCCTCCCCGCTGTGTTTATTAGGGGAAGGAGGGCGGAGGCGGAGGCCAGTTCCCTAGCTCCAGCCGCGGTCGCCGCCGCCTGTGTAGTTGCAGGCGCTGCTGTCTCCCGCCAGCTCGCTCTGGGGAAAGAGAACGCGCGCGAGCTCCGGCGTCCCCGCCCCAGCCTTTCTGGGAGCCATGAACCCCAATTGCGCCCGGTGCGGCAAGATCGTGTATCCCACCGAGAAGGTGAACTGTCTGGATAAGGTGAGCCCCGGGACCGGGAGACGCGTCTTTGCCATTCTCGAGCAGTGCTCCAGATGGAAGGGAAGAGAGGGGCTGGGTTTTTGCCGCCCGATCCCCGGGATCCTTGGAGGAGAGAGGGAGGGCGGTGTCATGGGGTGTTGGGGACAGACCCCAGTCTGGAAACCAGGAGATCAGAGGCGAGGCAAGGAGTCCACGCGTGGCGGGCAGCCACTGTTGAAGAGTCGGTTCTGCCTTGGGGTTGGGAGAACGGAAAAGAGGTAGAGAAGCCAGGCCAAGGGGTGGGGGCTGGGGGAGGTTAGGGGTGCAGTCCCGCCCCCTAGGCCGGGGAGTGTGAGAGACTGACGCTCCTTCTCCCTGCCGCCCGGAGCGCCAAGTAGGCGGAAGCGCGGGGCTCTCGGGTAGGGGGCGGCGGTGGGGCGGGGCAGAGGCTGGGGGGCCCCAGCGAAACTGTCGGCTCTGGCCAGGAATGGCTGGGCTCCCTGGCCTGGAGTCTGGGGGCTGGGGCTGTCAACCGGTGAGTGTTGCTTTTGGTGAATTAGGCTGCGAATAAGGACCTAAGCCCCATTGCAAGACCTTTTTTGGACGATCCGTAGTACCCTTGGTGGCTCAGCGATTAATGGACCACCGGTGAATGGTAGCTTCCCAGCCCCCACCTCAAATTAGAGGCCAACTCGCAGTACTGGGCTGCCCAGCCCGAGCGGGGCGGGGTCGGATGCTGGAGTAGGGTGGGCGGGGGGTGCTTCGCAGAGATCTTCTGAAATTGTGCTCAGAGCAGAACAAAGAGCTAACTTTTCAAAGCAGGTTTACCCAATGGAGGTGGGGTTGGCTGAGCTCAGGGGAAGGCAAGAAAAGGGGGAGGTGTTTGGGGGGAGGGGAGGGTGGCCTTCTGGAAATTCATTGTCCCCTGAGGGCCCTTACGATTCATCCTCCCCACCACCCCTACCTATGCTGGACTCGTTCATCTGGTTGTCATTATACTTTTGGAGGGGGGTGGAGAGTAGAATTGGGTGTTTCCAGCAGTTTGGGGTAGGATCCTGTCCTCTGTTAAGCTCCCTTAGACCCTGAGGCAAAATCTTCGGTTCCTCTGCATCCTGCCCCAGTCTGGAGGCGGGGCCTTTGTGATTTTTGTCCCCTTCCTCACCGTGCCTTTCACCCACTTCCCAAAGCTGGCTCCAAGTCCAAATACACCCTGTTTCTCATCTAAAATGGCAGGGCGTGAGGGGCATGGGATGGAAGAGGGGTGCAGAGCCCTGGGACCAAGTCCATTGCCCACTTGAAGCCATGTTTTGTTCGTGAAAGGACAGCTCATTGGATACTTGCTTCTCCCCTTCCCCCTGGGGTTGGAGCTTCCTCAGTGACCTTTGGCCTTCTTGGAGGAAGGATACATGTGGGGCTACTGCTGTATCACTGTCTCTCCTGGGTTTGGCCAGACAGGAGGAGAGGAGAGCGGTATTGTGGACACAAAGGAGGTGATGACTGTGCCAACCTCCTGAGGGCAGGACTTGAGCTTGGAGGCACTAACTGAAGAACTCTGTCTTCACACACTGGTGTTTATACCGTTTCCTGATGGTAGGGATTTTGGCCTCTCTTCCTGGAGTTCCCTGTGCTCTCCTTCTCCACCGTCATGAGTTGGGAAGAGGCTGTGGACACCTTCACTCCTACAAGGCAGAAGCAATATATGATGAAGAGATTGCTAGCCTGGGAGTTGGGAGACAGGGTCTGCATTCCAGGTGTTTTCCCACTGGCTTTATGAATGGCTCTAGGCCTCAGTTCTCACCATCTGTCAGATGCGTGATGATGTTATTTCCTTGGAGGTGGGGCTAAAGTGCGCTGAAAGGGATGTGTTGTAGGCTGTGCACTCCCTACCTTTGGGGCATACTCTGTCCAGCCCCACGCCTGGCTCCCCTTGTAGAGAACTTTGGTGTCGTGTGTGTCGGGGGCCAGGAGGACATGTATCCTGCAAGGTACTGCCCCCCCCCACTAGCTATCTTTCTCACCCCAGCTGAAGAGGACAGTCAGGTGGGGGTTGCCTTGGGAAGTGGGATCGGTGATTTCTCCCTCTTCTGAGAGCCCTCCCTGTAGGAGGTGGTCCTGGGGGGACCTCGCTCCCATCGCTGAGCAGGAGGCTGCGAGTATCCCGCTGTCAGACCTCTTCCTCTTTCCTAACCCCCTCCCCGCAGGGAGGACAGGCACTTCCTACTGGGGCACTGGTGCCCCAAGGGCTGAGACCTGAGAGGAGGAACACTCTGTCCCAGAGGCAAGGTTGCTAACCAACTTCCCAAGGCTTTCCATTTACAATAGGAGAGAGTCAAATGAGACCCACCCATTTACTACATTACAATTACTCTGTGGCACTTAGCTCACAATGGGACCCAAGGCCCAGGCCTGTGTCCTTGGGTCCCTGAGCCTTATCTCTCAAAGACTTAGGTGAGTGCAGGTCCCGTCACCTCAGATGGCCACCCTGCCCCCAACCTGCAGTACCCAGTGTGCCTTGCATGCTGAATAAATATGTACTGCTGGCGGCGGTGTCTGAGGGAAGAGATCGAGATTTCCTTCCCCAGAGGATTTCTGGGGTTAGAGTTGGGGGAGAAACAGGGTGACCTGATTGGCTCATTCATTGGACAAATACTTATTGAACACCTACTTTGTGCCAGGCACTCTGAAGGGCTGCCATAGGCCTTTGAGGAGGGGGAGGGGCTATATCTCAAAATGTGCCCTACACTTTGAGAGCGGTGGAGTTTTAGCCCAGACCCTGTTAGGGAGCATTTGTGCATAGGAACCTGCGTTGTTAAGAACCCCGCCCTGCCCCTCTCCCTGGGCTTCCTTCCCTGGGCTCCTGAAAAGGGTAGGGGATTGGTGGGCACCAGTTTCCCTGGAGCCCCCCATTAGGAGGGCTCCCCGTCTCTGGTTGTTTGAATTGCCCCCTCTCCTGCCCTCTCACTCCTACAGGGGGCAGCAAGATAGACGGAGGCTGACTGGACACAAAGAAGAGACAAGTCCTTGCACTTGTGGTTCCCCCTTTTTGTTAGATGAAGTTACCCCATGATCAGCTACGGCCGTCCATTCATAGCTACTGCTTATGGCGAAGGGCCAGGCTCAGTCCCCGCAGCAGGTGTGGTGGCCCCTAGAGGTGATGAGTCCCCTAAACAGAGGCTCAGATAGTTCAGGTGGCTCATCCCCTTCTCAGTCAGAGCTGGAATTCAAGTCTGAAGTTCTCTGTGCTCAGCTCTTCTGCTTGTTATGTTTGCAAAACAGTACCTGTATTTACACTATCTTATTTTAGTGTCCACAGTGGTGCCGCCCCTTCCTGACCCTGGGCCCGAGGCACGCTCCTTCCAGGAGCTGGGGTAGTAGGGAATAATCATCTCCCCCTGGGAATTTGTGTGGCCAAGATCTGTCACTTTAAGCCAGCGGCCCAGGTGGCCAACAGTTGGTGACCCAACCAGGGTGGGGCTGGCATTGCCCCCGGAGAAGGGAGAAATGGTAACCCTGGGCGACAGGAAGGGAGAGGAAGGTCTCATACTCCAACCCTGAGTCATGGCCACCCAGGCAGCCTGGGTGCAGAGGGCAAGGTGCCAGGCTGCAGGCACAATGACCTGAAATTGGCTGAATCTCCCTCACCCAGAGCTAAGAGCAGCCCCTCCCCCAACTCCACAGTGATTATGGAGAGGTAGAAGCTGGTATAAGCCTCGCCCAAGTGCAGGGGATCTTGCTTCTGCCCCATGAGCCCCTGTTTACCTTTCTGTGGCCTGGGCTTCAACTTCCATAGCTGCAGGCAGGGGAGACTTGAGGGGGAAGCTGGAGCTCCAGAGGCTACTAACAGACCCCACAGGTCTGTTTTTTTGTGAAAGGGAAACCATGGACTTCCAGGGCAGAGGGAGGGATTCGAGTTGCCTGCCCAGAAGTGCACTTTGCTCTGTTCCTGAGTCCCGAGTCTCAGGAATGCTTCTCTGAAATCTGCTTACTGGGGCCTTTCAGAAAAGAGGGACTGGGCTTACGGGGAAGGGGAAAGAAGAGCAGACCTGACTGAGACAGGGACGGGGTTTCCTTGGGGCGCACAGTCCAGGCTTGGCCCCCGGGGGCTGCTGAGTCGCCCGCCCTATGCTGCCCTCCCTGCCCTCCACTTTCCTGCTGTAAGGAGGACACGCATAGCGGCCGGAGCAGCTGGATTTTCCTGGACCTTGGAGTCCTCCTCCAGGGAGCAAGAGAAGTGACCTAAAGCAGCCACCTTGGCACACGAGTCATCCCATTAATCCTCCCAGCGCATGTGTGGGACCCTGGTTTTTGTTCCACTCTCTAGCTGCAGAGACCAAGTTTGGTGGTTACCCTGAAGGCACTCAGGTCACCTGTGCTCTTATTATTCTGCTACTGAGCCCCTGTATGGGGACAGATGAACCCCCTCCCAGACTCTGATGTGTCTGGCTGGGAGCAAAGGGTCTCTGGGGTTGGGGAGAGGGGAATAGCTACAGATGGAAATGGGTACCATGTGCTCGTATGGGGGTTCCTCTTCCAATGGCAGCCTGCAGGGGGCTTATGGAACTCCTGGATTGGGTGATGGCCCTGTACCCCCACCCTGGTCAGTATACCCTGCCCCTCTTCCCAAGGGGCTTGGCCTTGGCTCCTGGGTGGGATCCTGCTTATCTGCTAGGGGATCTGTCTTCTTCCCTTTGTCCCCCCCCAAATCAATCAGGAGGCAGCTTTGGAGGTCCCCAGTCCCAGGACAGTGTATTCCTGCAGATGTGTGTGTGTGAAAGTGGGTCATGGTCTGGATTCCAGAGAATGTTTTTCCTGGCAGGCCCCGCCGGGGGTTGGGGGAGGTGGGGGCCCAGGCAGGGGCATGTGCAGCTCAGCAGGCAGAGGCCAGCAGACCGGCTGGTGACGGAGCTGGGGCGCTCTGCCAGTGCCTCCGAGGCAGTGGCGGTGGGAGAGGGGCTGCCACTTTGTGGGCTGACAGGGGCAGGGGCCACCCTGTTCTAGCTTTTCCGGTGGGTATGTGTGTTGGGGTTTGGCACCGTGAGTCTAGGCTGGGCTCTGGGATAGGCCCTGGTTGGGGAGGGGGCCAAGCTTACTTAGACCAGCCATCTCGTTGCTTCCAGGCTTCCAGCTGGCCTTCTTCCCAAAACAGTGGGTCTCCTACCATTTCATTCACTATTCTACCATTGGAGATTCCTTTGGGTCTCCTTGACAGGGGAAATATCCTATTAGACAGCGATTACCCCCCAAATCACCCCGTGGTTGAAGCCAGCCAAGGGAGGGAAGGTGGTATCCCAATCTCCCCGCTTCCTTTTTCCTGTCCCCTCCTCCAAAGCATCCCGGAAGCACCCTTGGCAGGGAAAGACATTTTGCAAAGCACTGCCTTGAGGGGATTCCTTGTCAAATGGCCAAGAACCAGCCCTGTGCTGGTCACCTTCAAACGTCTCCCTGGGCCCTTCCCGGGCTTCTGGCCTCCTTCCTGAGCGTCAGGCATGTCTCCCTTGATTGCCAGGAAATGGGGCAGAAACAGGTCAGTTGGGTCACCCAGGCCGCCTGGATCCTGGAGCCCTGAAAGCTGGACAGATGCCCGGTCAGGGTCAACGCAGATCCCAAGGCCTCATTCTTGGCTGCCAGGGGCAGATTTAGACCTCGTTTGCGGGGTTGATACCTCAGTATCAACATTTCTTAGGACAGGGTCACTTCTGCCACATCCTCCCCCTTCCCTCCTGTTTCCCTTCGTTGGCCGTGCTGGATTGGTCCTGGCCACTCTGTCCTTGGCTTTGCTGGAGTCTTGCCTGTCACTTATCCTCGCCCACCTTGTAGCTGCATCTACAAGGTGCACATGACCAGCAGTGTAGTCCCACCCGCACCCACCACGCACAGACCTGCAGTGCGAGGCTCAGAGCCCTCCCAGCTGAGGTTCGTGTCTGCTGTCCACAGCATCTACCACGCAGGTGCTGAGAGGTGCCAGGTACTGAGGGCATTGCAGGTGATTTCTCATTTAATCTTCAACCATCCCAGGAGGGACAGATATCATTTCCCTTCTGTAGACCTGGAAATGGCTCAGAGGTGTGGGCCCTGACCAAGGTCATGTAGCTAGTTAGGGTGGAGCTTTGATGCCCACCGTGGGGTTCCCCGTCCAAGGCTTTTAAGCAGAGTTCTTGAGAGCCTCAGGAAGGCCAGCTGCTGGGTGCTCTCCTACGGAGTGTGGGCCGGGAGGGAGAAAGGGTGTGAGAGTGGTGGCTGGAGCTGGAGCACCCGCCGCCTTCTCCGGTCGGGGTGCCTGGGTTCTGGGCCCTCCTCCTCCCCTTCTCTAGGCCTTCCCTAGGAGCTGCCCCTTACGCTCAGCAGCGGCTTCTTAGCAACCCCGGTACAGCTTTGAATAAGCAATGAGGCTTCTCCAGCTTGGGAGCAGCAGGAGTGGTCTGGGAGGTGGAGCCGGCTTTTGGGGGACAGCTCACCACTACTATTATCGGCCTCTTCTCCACTTGCCCCATACAGCTCAAATGGCTGATTGGTGGGGAGTGGGAAAGGGGTGGGAGGAGTGTCATCGGCTGCCAGAGTCTGTGACCTGAGATGTCCCCAGCTCACCCCGGGTGGTTCTATGTCCCATTCCCTGGGGCTGGAGCCACAGAGCCCCTTCCTGAAGTCCTGGTGTGTGATGGGTGTCCTCCCTCTGCCTCTGTCCCCAGTTCTGGCATAAAGCATGCTTCCACTGCGAGACCTGCAAGATGACACTCAACATGAAGAACTACAAGGGCTACGAGAAGAAGCCCTACTGCAACGCGTGAGTGCTGCGGCGGGCAGGGGGCTGGGGGGGCTGGGGGGGCTGGGCCCCTCCCTCATTCTTCCTCAGGGTCGGTCACAATTAGCTTTCACCACAGCTGGGTGAAGGAAGCGCCCTTATTCTTCTTCTCATTTCACAGAGAAGGAAACTGAGGCTCGAGGAGGGGAAGGGATTTTTCTCAGGGCGATGTGTCTAGTGAAAGGCCAGTTCAAACCCAGTGCAACAGGCGTGTTCTTCCCACAGTGCCCTGCTGCGGTGGGGTGGGCCCCGTGCGGCCTTTCACAAAAAAGTGACCTGCCCTGTTTCTGCCCTGCTGTGCTCTCTGCTTCTCCTCTTTTCTCTCCCCATCAGAACAGTTGACTGTCTCCATCTCTCGCCTGGCCCCTGCCAGAGAGCCTGGGCACGAGGCTCAGGGCTTCAGGCTACAACCCTTCCTGGTGTTCATTTCTTGAGAAGTGAGGCGGCAGGAAGGGGTGGCCTGACCCCGGGCAGAGCTTGTCCATGTGTGGTGAGGGAGGCAGTGGGGAGCTCCAGTCTTTCCCACTGGAGTTGGCTTACACTCTGTTCCTTCTGCCTTGGGGCCTGCAGCTTGGCTCGCTGCAGGGAAGTAGGTAGAGCGGGTCCCTCATTCCATGCCATTCCAGAGGAGGACACCTGCCCTCTTCAGGGTGACCTCCTGAGCCTAGCATGCACAGACTCAGTGCAGACTCAGGCCAGGCCCACGGCATGTGCAGGACCTCACAACCAGCCACCCTGCTAGGTAGGAGCTGCAGAAGGTCAAATCATTCAAGTAGGTGGCAAGATCAGTATTCAAAACAGTTCAGCATCTGACTTGGGTCCAGTTTTATTTCATTTCTTTATAGTCTGTCAGGAGGCTCTTCGAAACTGAAGATTACCCAGGAGGGGAGCTTTGGGACTTGCCTGAGAGGGGTTGGGGGTCTTAAACCCCTTTGAAAGGCTGCCTCTCCCTTTTTGCACCCCCAGGTCCCTGCTAATACCACAGCCTCATCTCCTTGGCGTTTTTTCCATTCATTAGATATGTATCGCCTGCCGGGTTACTACATGCCAACCTGTGCCAGGTGCTGGGGAAACTGATTTCTGATAAAATCTTACACTCAAGAAGTTACACGAGTATTGTCTCTTCTGGGAGGGCTGGGGGCATGGGGAAGGTTGCCTGGGGTACAAGGGGGGGTCCCTGCTCTCCCTTCAGCTGCTCCTTCTCTTCTGTTAGCTTACACTGGTCCTCTCCCCCAGCCCCCAAGGGAAATGGGACATTCCTTGAATTCTTAAGGGCTCACACAAGCCCTGATTCTCTGCCACTTCCTCCCTCTGTTGGGGAGCGGGGTGGGGTTCAGCAAAGTCAGAGGCTGGGGCAGTTTTAACCCCGTGACTGCTGGACCACTCCAGGCTGGATTCTGGGCACTGAGGCTCCTTCAGGGGCAGCTTCTGACCCTCCACCCCTCCAGGTAGAAGTCTGGCTGAGCCCCGAGCCTAGTGGGTGGCAGGGACGGATGCTTCTGTACAGCTCTTCCGAAAGACTGCAGTAGCCTAGAATTCAGTGAGCGCTGGGAGTTGGAGAAAGAAATCAGAGGCATGTCCTTGTTTTCTCTGTATTTTCTCAGCCTAGTGCCAAAGTCTCAGCTTACTTTTCTCACCCTCTTCTGGGGAGGCTGCAGTAAGTGGGGTGAGGAGCTCCTTGCGTTGCTTGAGGGGCTTTCAGGGAGGCAGAAGATAAAGCACCCCTCCTTGGATGCCGCTTCCAGCCCGCCCTGGCAGAGGTTTCCCGTCTGTCTTCCCATCCCTAGCCAGAGAAGCTGGCTGATCCTTCTCTGTTCCCCCAGCCTGTACAGCCTTGGCATGTGCCATGCCCAGCTGACCATGGGCCCAGCTGGGATGTTTCCTGGGTGGGAGGAGACGGGGGTCCTTGTGGTCCAGCTGGGTTTCACTCCAGCTGTAGTAGTACCTTGCCCAAGGCATTCACACTTCCTCAGCCAGCTTCTGCCGAGCAGTTGGTCCGTGCCAGCTATTCCGATACGGAAATTCTGGGATAAACCAGAAGCAGGCTCAGCCTGCAAAGAGCACTTTGTAACCTGTCTGAGCCTTGGCTCCCCCATGGTTAAAACTTCCTGCCCTGGGCTGCCGGACCAGAGACCAAAGAATACTGAGAGCCTACTGTGTGCCAGGGACTGTGCCGAGAGTTCACTCTCATTCCTTCCCGTTCCCCTACGGCCTCTGGCCCCGTCTTCCAGTGACGTTCAGGTTCCGAGTCCCGCGGGTTGTCCAGGGTGTAGCTTTGTCCTGATTCCACCCTGGCCTTGCTTTGTGGACCAGGCCCAGCTTCCTTCTCAGCAGCCTCTCCCGCTCAGAACCCAGAGAGCAAGCAGGTGGCCTCTCCTGGCCCTGGGCCAGGGAGTTGGGCCCACCCAGTGAGAGAGTGTGAGTTTGGGGTGCAGGGAGGCCTCTGGGTTCTGCCCGTCTCTGGCTTGTCCCCGAGCCAGAATCTTGCAGGGGGCATTGATCAAGAGAGAAGAAATCTGTCTCTCTTTTCCCGGTGGCATCTCAAGACTAATTTAAGTTCTGGAAAGTGACTATAAGCAATAAAAATGCCTCTTCTCTTTCTCTCCTTGCACCAGACTTGCTTTGGGGTGAGGCAGCAGGGAGAGCACAGGCTGGAGCGCATGGCTGGCCTGCAGGGTGGCACGGGACCCCTGGGGACGCGCACTTACACGTGTGCCTGCTGCACGCCCAGACACGTGCTCTGCCAGTCTACGGGGCTGGGGAGAGACGCTAGGGAGGTCCCCTGAGTGGGGTGTGATGGTGTTCACACCCCCCAGGCCACAGCCACCAGACACTGCGATGGCTGGATAGAAGCACGCATGCCTGTTTTTGCACAATAGTCGGTGGAAGGACTAGTGAATTGAATTCTTACTTGAAGCCTCTAGGCGGGTGGGTGAGCCTGCTTCATTTTGGTTGGAGGGATATTTATAACCCTTGATTATTTGTTTCAAAAACTACATTTTCTGCAAGCGGGGCAGATATGTCCACACCACAAACCTGCTCTTTTATCTTCATGAAAATAGTTTAGGAGTCTGGAGGTCAGGGGCAGGAAGGGGGTGGGGAGACATGCACTGTTCTCTCCTCCTTGGGGGCTGTGACTCAACAGAGGCTGCAGACCTGGGGTGGAGTTGCAGGCCAGGATGGGAGCCAGCTTTTGGGGTGTCCAGTGGTGGTGGCAGGTGGACACAGGCCAGGAAAGGAAGGGGGGTGCTCCATCGTATCCCTCCCCTCTTCACTGACTGTAGGTATCAGGGTCTATGCTTCAGTTTCTTTGCGCTGTGGGGTGAGGGGCCGAGAAGGATGGAGATGTGCCTGCTTCTGGGGCAGAAGGGACTATGGCCCTGCCCCTCCCACCAGGCCTCAGAGAGTGGGCGGGGCCTGTGCTGGCAGAGCTGGGTTCTCGCAGCGTCTCTGGGTTCTAGCAAACTGTCTCAAATCCCAGCTGCTCTCAGGGGATGGGGCTTTCCCGCCCCCCCAGAATTTTTTGCCTCTGACTGGGCAAATGGGATCAGATGTTTTAGGGAGCCGGGGCAGCACCAGGAGTGGGGGGAGGGGTGTGCCTCTGGGGACGGGGGAGGCACGCTCAAAAGGGCATCCACAGTGGCCAGATGCGGCCTCTAGGCAGCCCCCATACCTGACCCTCACCCCCAAATCCCTGTACTCAGAGAGGTCAGGGCCTCAAAGAACCTCAGGGCTTCTAATACCCCCACTTCATAGAGGAGGAAACTGAGGCCCCGTGTTCCTCTGCCTTGCCCAACTTGGCAGAATCATTTCTTTTCATGTATTGCCATCAGGGGCAGTAGCTGGCTTTGATTTTACAGTTTGTCTCCAACCCCTGAGGGCTGGTAAGTTCTTCTTCATGTCTAGCCTTGATCTTTTTGGCTGCTCATGATTTTTTTCTGGTCAAACAATGCCTCCTTGTTGCTTCCTATCCCCACCCCATCGGCCCTCAGGCCTGGGGGGCTGGTGAGAAACTGGGTTAGGAACGAGCCCTCCCCTGGTCCACCCCTGGGTCCGGTCGTGGGCAGAGTTCCCAGCAGGGGATCAGAAGCTCCTTCCAGAGGCAGGCTGTCGGGACTGTTTCTCCCCCCTCTTGGTAAAACCCAAGGTTCCTTGTGTTGTTGCTTTTGTTGGAGTATTTTTGTTCTTCCTGGAACAAAAAGCTTAGGTTTCTGAATGAGTCTGAGGCTGGAAGAGGCAAGGTTGCGCGCAGAAGGGGGCGCTGGGCTTTCGGGCTGTCCAGTCTTTTCGTTCTGCCCGGGAACACAGCTAATGCGCAGGAAACCCGTCAGCAGGAGCCCAGCTGCCTCTCAGCATCCTTCCTGTCCTCACAGGGGGCGCAGAGGTTGTTGGGGACAACCCCTCCTGTGGGGCGGAGGTCCCTTCTGCATTTCTGCATCCCCACAGGTCATTGTTGGGACTCTTCGCGGTAGCTGCTTTGGAAAACTTATAAGGAGAAGGTGACTTCTATCTGGGGGTGGCTGAGAGATCCCACAGGGTTTCTCATCATGGCCGAGCTTGGAAACAGGTTGGGTTTGAAAGATGAATTACCCTGTTCTCCACCTACCCTGCAAGCACATCTTTCCACAGAGGCCTGAGAGCTGCGTGTGGACTGGGGTCCACCTGAGAGGGAGATGCCAGCTCGTCCTTAGCTGGCTGGGTAGCCTCGGTGGACAGCAGAGTGCATGGGGCAATGTCTGTCTCCTGGACACTAGAGCTAGTTTCCTTATCTATCGAATGGGCCCGCTGATGACGCCTGCCTTTTCTAGTCCCTCACCTTGTGGCGGGTTTCAAGAGGGAGTGTGTACGGGACTCGATCTGTCCAGAAATCACTTGGTGTGCCTGTACGTCGTCTTGGAGGCCTAGGCTGCTACTCAGAGCTGCCTGATTTCCTGCCCTGTCCCTGTTCTTGTCCTCCTGGATGCTGGGTCCTTTCTCCTGTCCTCCGGACTTCCTGCCCTGCTCTGTGCGCCCTCCAGGCCTCTCTTCCCCAGAGCAGCCCCCACCGCTGCCCTCGGAGGGTGGGGAGGGGCGTTGCAGAGGGTCCACCGCCTGGCGCTTCGCAGGGAGGCTGGCCCTGGGAGGGACAAAGAGCAGCTGTGCTCTGGACCCAGCCCCAGGCCAAGGTCAGGACGCCTGGTTCTCCCCGTCCTGGCCCCTTGTTCCCTCGCCATGGCCCAGTCTGTTGGGAGGGCCAGGGTTCCAGTGGGGTCACTAGCTGGGGGTGGTGGCCCCTCTTCCGTCTTAGTGCCCACAGTGGCACACACACGTACCCATTCATCTCGACTGGCATGTGAGGGCAGTGGGCGGGCAGAGCTTCAACCTGAGGACAGAGAGGGAGGGAAAAGGTAAAATTCCCAGCAATTGTTTCTGGAAGGAGGTCAAATCCGTCACAGCCCTGTCCAGGGCGGTCATGCTGTCGTGGGGAGGCAGGGGCACAGTGCGGACATTGCTGCGTCCACCCCTCTGAAGACAGACTGTGGCTCCTGTCCTCGCCACAGTGTCTCCAGGGATCCTGCAGACACAGGCTCCTGGTTGTGCCCTCATGGGTCCTCCACAGTCGCAGTGGAGGACACCCTTGGTGGCTTGTCTCCTCCCCACCCCCACAGACCCTCTCTCTCTGTGTCTCCCTCTCTCTCTCTCTGCTTTCCTGCCTGGAGCCAGGATGCGGTTGCCATGGGAACCCGAAGCGCAGCGAGCAGGGGAAGGGAAGGAGGGAAAGGCAAGGTTGTCAAGCCAGGGCTGGGGGCTGTGGGGAGGGGACAGGGTTGACCCAGCAGGAGGACTGTAGCCCGAGCTGCACGTCCCCCTGTCTTCCTCTGGCCTGCGGTTGGGGTTCAGGAAGCAGGAGTTAGAGACTGGGGGCTCTGGAGTTCCTCTTAAATCTAGTTCATCTGATGCAGGATTAGGATCCCTTTCCTTCCCCTGCCACATTAATCCAAGACCACATCTAGGCGGGCCCCCCTTCCCTTTCGACGGGGTTAGTGCTCTGGCCGTGCTGGCGCTGAGATCTGGGGGTCTCCTGGCCCCCAAGAGAGGACAAAGTACCCACCAACCCCACCCAGAGGTACTTGCTGTATGTGGTTGGGCGGGGGTTCCTGAGACCCTTCTGGTGGGGCATCGGGGGTGCAGGAGGCGTGCAGACCTGGCCGGTAACATGCACTGTCACATGTGGGCCTGCTGGCCTCCATGTCCAGGAGACGCGCATCACTGCAGAGGGCTCGTCTGTCCACGTGCCGTGTGTGAGGGCTCACGCCGTGTGTGGCAGAGCCTTGGAGCAGGGTGGCAGTGTGTGTCGGGGCCACATGCCGAGCTGTCCTTGGGCCACTCGGTCTGGCACTGCGTTTTAACTGCGCATACGCAGGCACACGGGAAACCCAGGTGTGCAGACCGGCTGCCGCGCACATGTGTTCGCCAGCTTCGCTCCCCCACCAAGTGCTAACCGGTGCCATCTTCTCGGAATTGACCCTTCAAGTTCTGAGCCAGAGCCACCCTGCAGGTCTCCTTGGTCTCCTTGCTTCGGCCCTAACTCCTTCCTCTGCCGCAGCAGTCGGTGCTCACGGCGCTTATGGATGCTCTTCTCACCACAGACCCCCCCCATGACGCCTTCAGAATGGCTCTTACTTGGTGGGAGGGTCACCTCTGCAACTTACCATTTTAAAACGTCAGGGCCAGGCAGTTCTGCTACAGATCTTACTTAGATCCCTCCTGCTGTTCTCTTTCCAGCCTCTGGGAACAGACTCCCAATTGATCCTCTCTTTCCCTGGAACTGCTCAGGAATTTTGAATGGCGATCCTCAGCTGTGGGTGGCCCCGGTTTCGTGGAGCTGGGCCAAGCCTGGAGACTGGACCCACAGGCTTGGCCTCACATTCATCCATAGGCCGTGCCAGCTGCCGGCACCTGTGTTTACGTTTCAGTCTCCTCTCTTTCCTCCCTGTGCTGGGGCAGCTGCGAGCCCGGGCTGACCTAGGAGGCAGGAGCCGGGTGGGGGGGGGGCAGTGGAAGCGAGGGTGGGGACACAGCTAGAATCACTTAGGTCTAAGACAGTGAAACTAGCCCAGAGGGAAAAAGGATTTGCCCGTCATCCAGTGAGCCTCTTGCAGGCCCAGAGTGCAGCATGGTGTCCCCACCCCCGGGGGGAGTTCTCCAAAGCCACCAGTCCTGTGCGTCACCGGGAGAAGTCTCACGTTCACCAGTAGCTCTGGCTTCAGGTGGTGTGGGCGCCCGGAGGACATGCCAAGTTTGGTGACGACACAGAGACCAGGGGGCTGCTCACGTCCGGCTCCAGGGCATGTCAGCCGACTGGAGTGGAATGTGCCAGAAAGGGGCCAGACTTCCTTTTGCCTGGGGACAGCCTGTGATCAGGGACCTGCTGGTAGTCGCAGCTGTGGTAGGGTGCAGTCACTCAGGGCTAAAAATGGCCAGATCTTGGCTCCTGGTTAGAGAAGCCACCCGCCAGCCCCTGAAATGGTTGGGTCCCCAGCCCTCACATACGAGCACGTGTACCCAAACCGCAGCGACTCGAGACTGCTTCTGCTTCAGCTGCTTTGCTGGGGACTTTGTCTGCCATCTAAGTACTGACCAGGCCTGACCCTGCTTAGCTTCTGAGATCAGACGAGATCGGGCGTGTTCAGGGTGGTTCGGCCGTAGACTTCCCGGGGACTTTGTGATGGCCCCGTGGGACGTAGGAGACCTGAGTTCTAGTCCAGACCCAGCTTCCATGCCTGGCGCGACATTCATCCATCCACCAGTATTGATTGGATACCAGGCACTATTCTAGTGGCTTGGGATAAATCAGTGAGCAGAAAACCTCCTTACCTCATAGAGAGATGGTCGAGAGAGGTGAAACCAAACGGATGAGATAAGGAAGTTAATTATGAAGTCACCTAACTGCTGATAGCGTCCTGGACCCAGCACCCTCTTTCCTCTGGGAAATGAGGGTCGGCCGGGTAGTTGGCGAGGTCCCTGCAGACTTGGCTCCGAGGGCTTCCCTGGCTCCTGCTTTCACCAAGCCACCCTCTTTCCGGGGCACAGGACTCTGGTCTGTCCGGTGTCTGGAGACCGAAGGGTTCAGTTCAGGGTGCTGGGCCCTGGGGAGACAGTCTGGGTGCCACTCCAGATGCTGGCACTTCCTGGCCCTGTGCCTCGGCAGTGCTGTTCAGCCTCTGTGGGCCTCTGTCATCTGTCAAAGAAGGGCCGTGGGTGGTGGTGAGAGTTGGATGAATGGAGGCCCAGGGCACACGTTGGCCGTTGCTACAGTATTATCTGTCACCCGAGGGTGGCCTCTCCTGGCATCGAGCTGATCTCTCGCCTGTACTCCAGTTACGGACCTTGTTAGCCCTTGGAAATACCACTCTGGATGTGTGCATTTTTTCTCTCTCGTCACCTCCTCCAGGAAGCCCCCTGGATATGCGTGCCCCTTTCCCCCTTTTTTCCTGTCTCTGTATCTGTCCTGCCCTTCCTCTCCTTGGTTGGACTCCATGTCTGGTCTTAGCCGAAAGCTTTGTCCTGGCCCAGTCCTCATTTTCTCCCCTCTCTGGCCTAGCCCTCTTGACTTCCCTGGTTGGTGGATTTGAAGGGATGGACTGTCCCCAAACAGTCGTGATCTGAAACCCTGAGGGGTCCCGTGGCCTCCCTTTGGCTCAGAACAGTTGTCCACAACCTGCCAGCCACTCAAGCCTGTTGTGTCTCCCAGTTCAGCCCGGGACGACTCCGAGGGACACCTGCCTCCCTCCACATGGGAGGCGAACACTATAGTCTCACTGCTGGAGCCGGGGCAGGGGCAGGGACTTCCCAGGGATGAGACGAAGTTGCCAGGAGAGAGTCAGAGGTCCGTAAGAAGCTTAGAGATTCCTGCCCGTTCCCCAGAGTGACCCCAACTTTTTTCTGTCCTGCAGACACTACCCCAAGCAGTCCTTCACCATGGTGGCCGACACCCCGGAAAACCTCCGCCTCAAGCAACAGAGCGAGCTCCAGAGTCAGGTGAGGGGGCGGGGCCTGGTGGGCGGGGAAAGCTGTTGTAACTCCTGCATTTGGCAAGGGCTCTTACCCCCGCTGGGGTTACTCAGCAAGACCAAGGTGCTGAAATCCTAGCACTTACTTGCCTGTCCCCTGCCCCCAGTTCCGAACCCGTTACTTCACATTTCCGGACTTTATCAAAGGAGTGGGAGAGAGCATGCCCCCACTTCTCGACCTAAGTAGGCTGGAGAGGTGTGTGTCTGACTCCTTCTGCTCTGGTGGGCCCCTGAAGCCCACCTCCTCCAGGCAGTGCTGCCCTCTTCCTCCTCGCCACTCACTCCCACCCTCAAAGGAGGGAACTCGCCTCTCTAGGCTCCTGCCAGTCTGAGGTTACACAGCCTGCCCTCTGTAGCCATGTTCCCAAACCTCCTACGCTCCTCCGAGGGGGCAGGCTGCGAAGGTGGCCTTGGCCTGGGTGGCTTATCGCCTTTGTGTCCTTGGGGCTGATTTTCCTGAGCGTCTGCTGGGAGGGGTAGGGGAGGAAGGTCATTTAGTAGGGGAGGAGGTGGGGTTCCTGCCCCCGGGAGAACTCAGTATTTAGGGGGCTCCGAGGAATAAGAGCCCTGATACCCGAACAGCTGACCCTGCCTAGGGGTCTGGGAGAGCTTCTGGGACAAACCTGGCCTGGACTATGGGAGGGGTGGGTGGTTCAGCAAAGACCCCTTGGGGAACTTAACCAAAGGGGCAGGGTGCCCAGGGCCAGACCAGTGTGGTGGGGAACCTGCCTGCGCCACAGTGGGGACCGCTGCGGCTCCCTCTGGGCTGGGGCTCCTGCAGCCCGGTCTTGACTTGGCCTCTCGGGGCCCCTGCCTCCCACTAGTTCCCCTGAGGGGAGAACCAGCCCCGGGCTGTTCCCATTGTACAGGTGAGGAAACTGAAATGTGGAGGGCCTTGCTAGGGCCGTACAGGAAGTAGCAGAGACGGTGACAGCACCAACAACCTCACACTCTGGGCACCTTTGCTCCTGTCATCCTCACGGCAGCCCTGCGCGGTCGGCAGGGTCACTCCCACTCTGTGGAGGAGGAAGTAGGTGCTGTTGACGCTCAATGCCGTTTTTGTCTAACTTTTGAGTCTTGTGTTCTTTCCAGTTCTCCGCCCCACTCCCAGAGGAGCACTATCGCTACCTTGAAACATGCTTTTGTAGCTTAGCGGGTGCTTGGAGATACGTGGCCTTATGTGTTCTTGACCCTACTCTGGGGGTCAGAGGAGGGAAGAGAGGCACTGGCCTTTGGCTGTGGACACACGAACTGAGTCAGGTTCCAGTATCTGGGCTCTGGTGTTTTCACTCCAGTGACCTTGACCATGTGCATGCAGCCCACAGTGATGGGGAGCAAGTGGGGAAGCTGGTTTGGTCCTTGGCAGCAGCTTACAGCTGCCAGCCTGGTCCCCACACCTGTCATGGTGAGAGATGTAACTACTGGCGGAGCCACGAGGACACCAGACCTCTGCCAGCTGAGGAGGCCCTGCTGGCCTGGCTGGGCAAGAAGAGGGCCTGAGACAGCCCCAAGGCCTGGGGCTGGTCCGCACAGGGAAGATCCTGGCCAGGCCCTTACTACCACCCCAGACTCCTCATCCTGTGGGAAGTCCACTGGGGCCAGAGGTGAAGGGGGTGGCATCGTGGGGTGGACAGGCCAGAGCATCACGGGGTGACCTGTACTCAATCCACAGCTTGAGAGAGTCACTCAGAACCCTGAGGGGCCTGGGGGAAGAGGTGTGGAAGGGGCGAGGCGGGTAAACGGTCCAGAGGTGGAGTGAGTGCACACTCAGATAGAGGCGATGGAGACACATACACACGTCCTTGCTCTCAGGAGGAGAAATTCAAGCCGAGCTATTCCCTCAGCCTTTGTTGGTCTCACAAAAGCTTCGCTGTAGGTCTTTTTTTTTGGTCCCTGAAACCCGATCCCTGAGGGACACCCCCTGCTCCCCAGGGCCCTCCTGGGTCATCCCCTGGGCTCCTGACTCTCGGGCAGGCTGCGGGACCACAAGAACGGCAGCCACTCTCCATTAGGTCTGCGCTGAAAGCCAGGCCTTGACCTCCTTCAGTCCTCACACGTAGCTGATGGAGAAGGGACTCCTGTTGTCCCCGTCATACAGATGGGGACACTGAGGTTGAGAAAGGCCGCGTGAGTTGCCTAGAGGCAGATTTCAAGCCCTTTGCCCTCAGCAGCTCCCCAGCCCTGTGCTCAGAACCCAGGACCACAGGACGCACCGGTCTCCAGAAGGGACGGGGACTCGTGAGAACGCACCCGAGGGACGTCTGGGTGGGGCCCAGGAATCTGTTTTGACGGCCCCAGTGATTCTGCTGAAAGCTTTTGGTCCCACAGACATAAGTTGAGAGGCTTAGGACTGGGCTGGTGGTCACGTAGAGCTGAGGGACCTGAGCTCACCCTCTTTCTGCTGCGCTGGTCTGGGCCCCGGGAGGGGGGATTGGCTTTGAAAGCTCGGCTATGATCTGCCGCAGTCTGGCTCCTGGGGCCTGGACGGTGGGGGCAGGACCTGCCCTCTTTGCAGGCCTGGTTCTGTCTCCCTCCACCAACATCCCCACCCCGGCTGTGTGGTCTGGGCCTGGCCGCTTGCCTCCTGTGGCTTCGTGGCTTTTGCTCCTCCAGGTAAAACGGGGACGGCAAGCCCCAGCTGCCTAGAGGTCGGGGGCTGGGCCCGCTGCTCTGAGGCTTGGGAGGGCTGAGCTGGCCTGGCTGGGGGCGGTGACAGGTTCTGGTTCCTGCGGCCGCTGTGGGGGCAGGGCCGGCTCTCAGCCCGCCTGTGGCTGGCAAGAACGGAAGTGGGAGCCTCCTCTGCCTGCCCTGCCCCACCCCGCCGGGGTGTCAGCTGGTCTCTTTCCAGGGCCCCTTCCTGGGCTCGCATCCGCGCGTCTCAGCCCTTCTCTGTCCTGGAGAAGCTGCCTGTGCTATTTCAGCTTTGTTTTCCCTGCTCCAGATCGGTTCCCCAAGTGGCGCTTGGGGTGTCTGGGACACCTGAAGCCTCCCCAGCGGGGGAAGGAACCACAGAGCTGACCAGAAATGACCCCCTGGGTGGTCCTGGCCAGGCTTGGCCGAGGCGGGGAAATGGCAGCTGGGCCCCAGCACCCGCCCCCACCCGGGCTGAATGGAGGCAGTGTCTTCGGGTGGGGCCAAGCCGGCAGTGGCTGTGCGGCCCCCGGACCCAGGGAGAAGTGCGGAGAGAATGTCCCTTTCACGTTTGTCCCCTACACTGTCTCACCTCCAGGTGTAGCACAGCCTGGGACTTGCCACAGGAAACCGGAGAGCCTGTGCCTGTCCCGGGGCAGAGTCCCTGCTCCCTCGCCTCGGGTCCTGCGACCTCCGATGCCACATCTGTGCCGCTCTTACTTGAGCCGGCAGGTCAGAGGTTAAATTCCAGATCTGCGTGACTTCGGGCGAGTTACTTAAAGTCTCTCAGCCAGTGCCTTCACTTGTGCAGTGGCGGTGACCTCTCTCCAGAGGCTGCTGTGGGGATGTTAGTGTGTATCAGGCCTTCCCAACAGTCAGTCCCCGGGGTCCGGCCAGCACCCAGGCAACATTCACCGTCGCTGTCCTGCTGGAAAGAGCAGGACCTGGAAGCGGAGGCTTCCAGCACCGGCCTCCTTCATCAGGTCTGCTGCCCGTGTGCATCGCAGCTCAAACCTGGTTTCTTTTTTGTTAGAAGGGAGTGGGTTACGGAGTGTGTGGGCCCCACACACGGAGGCACAAAATAACTGGAAATTGTTGTTGGTGTTTTTTTTCCCCAAGAATTTTTTTTTAAATTAAAGTCAGGATCTTTCCTCTTATGTTGGGTCAGTAAGGCAGTTAGTTTCCGAATCGTGCTGTTTCCAATTGGAAAATCGGGGTCTACATCCAATTCATTCATCATTTACTCCACAGATACTTATTTGTACCGTTCACTGGGATGAGTGATGAACAAGACAGACTGTGGGAGAATAGTCAGTAAACCGACGGAGAAGTGGAATGTCATAGGTGGTAGTCGTTTGGACTTGAGGAGACCTGGCCTCTGTCCTTGCCCTGCGTGGGGAGTTTCCAGGATGGGACTTCCAGGCACCGCCGCCCCCCCCCCAGGCACAGAGTCTTCCAGTCTCGGCATTGAGTTGGGACCTGACCCTCCCAACAAGGGTTGCATGACCTTGGACAGGTCCTTTCCCTCCTCAGAGACCCTCGTCACGTCCTGGCGAGCCATCCCAGATGAGGTGAACGCTCCTGCTTGGGTGTACAGGCTCCCTCTCCGAGGGACTCCAAGCAGGGCCCTCCCCACATTCCTTTTACCTGTCACCCACTCCAGCACCAGACAGCCTCTCAGAGAATCTCCCCCACCTCGATTCTCCTTAGTAAGGGCTGTGGGTGCTTAAAAATGGTCACAAACTCCAGAGGTGGGAGGGCTTTTAGAGATCACTAGCTAGCTCCTCTTGGAGGGGTCCCAGAGAGAGAGACCAGCTTGCCTCGGGACACACAGCAGAGGGCTGCTGAGGCCAGGCCCCTGTCTTTTCTCAGCCCGGACGGTGCTCCAGCCCCACCCTCCATGGACCGCCTGCGCCAGGGGTAAATGAATTATTCTTCCCCACCAAGGAGAGAGGGGCAGTTCCTGAGCTTGGGAAGCCACTGATGTACTGATGTCATCACGGTTGCCACGGCAGTTTCCCCTGGATTAGGGTCCTGACCCTGGCCAGGCCAGGAAGTAGAGGAAGCGGGGCTGCGGACTGGCATTTGTTCAGGACTTCAACCAAGCGCTTTCACAACTACCCTTATCAGGATGTGGTGAGGCCTACAGCCTGCTCCATGATGATTTGGCTGCTGTAGACTGTCTGTTATCTGCCCCATTGATTGGAGTGGGTGGTATTATTATTCCCGTTAGAGTGGGTGGTATTATTATTCCCGTTCTACAGATTTGTAAACTAAGGCCCAAGAGGTTAAGTCATGTGCCCAGCAGCACTTAGCAAGCAGGAGACTGAGCCTGAGTTAGTACCAGCTCCCGCTGGCATGTGGCCCAAGCTTGGGGGTAGGAAGGCCCCTTCCCATGATTCCTATGACAGCCTTTTACAGGTGAGGAAACTGAGGCCAGAGGCCTTGGATTTGGGGTTTCTGGATCTGGAGCTACATTTTTCTGATTCTAAGTGCCTTACCTGCCCTGATGCCCCCTCCTTGGAGGCTTTCCCCTCCCCAGCCCACCCCTAAGAGTCAGCACGCTGGCTTAGGCCTTCCTGGATGGGCTGGCGCTGGGCAGTTCTGGGCCCAGGGGGTGGGTGGGCGCCTTTACCCATTGTGCTAACTTCCCGTCTGATGGGAAGCAGCACGTGCAGGCCTTTGTTTTTATTCTGGATCCAAACAAAGGAGTTTCTGGAACCTTTTAGGACGAAGCCCATGGGTGGATGGGCTGGGGGCTCCAGGGGACAAACAAGGACTCCTGACCCCAGGGCTGTGCAGAGGAATGACAGGTGTGGCCCTGGCTGCGCACATGTGTTGTCAGTTGGGTCACAGTGCAGCTGGGCCCTGTGACCAGAGGATTCCATGCCTGGGCTTGTCATCCTGGAAACTCCCGAGGTCCTGGGCCTTGTGTCCTGGGCTGACCGCTTCCAGGATAGTGCAGCCCTCATGGAGGGAATCCAGGCAGCTGGTGGAGTTTGGGACAGCTGGCTGCAGAGGTGCACAGTGAAGTCTCTGGAAGCCAGGGCACAGTTCTCAGTCCCACGGGCATTTACAGTCTTCCATTCTGTTCCTTAAAGCCCCTGGGGGAGGACAGGCTAATCCTCCTATTCCGATTCCTTGAGTGTGTGCAAAGTGCTTTCGAGGATGGGCCTGGAAGTCCCATCCTCGAACTGACTTGCATCCCTCAGTTCGAGGATCCATGGAATCCTCAGAAGAGGGGGGCAGTGGTGGGGTGGTGGGGTCTCCCCCTGAGCCTGGTTCTAGTACTGTCGTCCGGAACCAGTGCCGTCCGCTGCTGTGGCGCTGGCCTCAGAAGCCGGCCTGGCAGGCTCCAGGAAGCCGCCAGGGCCCGTCAAAGGCCCATTGACTGTGTCTTCCAAGTGGCTGTCTCCCCGCCCTCCTTTGTGGGCACCAACTTTGTCCCTTGGCACAGCCTAGCTGGTCACTTAAAAACGGCCCTGAGCTCTTGGCAGGTAGGGCTGCATCCTGGCTGGGGTGAGGGCTAGGGCAGACTTTGGAGCTCTGGAGAGAGCCTTCTTCCTATAGGTTTCTGGCAGGATGGGTTGGCTGTGAAGGGTGGAGAGTCAGGCACGTGAGCTTTGTATCGTGGTGGTTCTGGACATTGGCTTCTCAGCTGTGTGACCTTGGACATGGGATTATGGTCTGTGTGGCTCAATTTCCTTATCTAAAGTGGAGCTAATAATAGTATACAGTAAGATTTAAATGAGATAGTTTGTGTGAAGCACTTGGCGCTCAGAATGCACTGAGTGCATCGATTATCATTGTTCCTTCAGTCCTTTTTGGTGAAGACTTCCGTTTTGAGTTGGGGGGTGGAGGGGGTGGACGTCGCTGCAGGGGGAGTTCTGGCCAGGATCTCTCTCCTGGCCGGTTGCTGCCTCAGAGGAGGCCCTAGGCCAGGGCCCGGTCCGCCCCCCGGCTTGACTCTAGTCCCTCTCCCTCTGGGTCCTCCAGGTGCGCTACAAGGAGGAATTTGAGAAGAACAAGGGCAAAGGCTTCAGCGTGGTGGCAGACACACCCGAACTCCAGAGAATCAAGAAGACCCAGGACCAGATCAGCAATGTAAGCTCCCCTGCCCCTGCGGTACCACGCTGACCCGCTGCCCTTCCTTGTCCCCTCCCTGCCAGCCTGGCAGGTACAACTGGGGCCCCTGGGTGGTCCTGGCCTACAGCCGCTTGAGCAGAGGGAAGGGAAGAGTGTGGGCTTCTCAGGTATTGTTTCCTGTGTGCCCCGGACTCTTCCTTTGCCCCCCTCTGCCCGCGTAGCATTTCCTCCTTCAAACGACTGTACTCTGAGGAGGGAGGGGCTCAGGGAGGGCCAGTGTTACCCAGTGACCCCCCACCACCACTCTCTTTGAAGTCGCATGTTTTTTTTCCTGGCTATGGTGGGTGTTAGGGTCCAGACTAGCTGTTTTGTCTGAGCGCAAAGGTCAGAACTTTAAAACTGGGTGGCAGGGATGGGGAGGGGCCGCCCTCCTGTCTGCCTCTGGGTGCTGACATTGCAGTCATTTCCGCCCTCCCTCGGCTTCCTCCCCCACCTTGGCTTGTTCTTCCTTCCGGTGTAAAACCCCAGCCAGCTCTGCCTACTGGCCCTGCAGCCCCTGGCCGGGGCCGTCCTGGGCCCGGGACGGGCAGCAGTGTCTGACTGTGGCCAGGCTGGGTGTGGAGAGTGGGCGGTGGGTCGCCAGGCCCCCTGGGACCTGTGGCCGGGAACAGGCCTCCGTTTCCTGCTTGGCTGAGCCATAGACCTGCGGCCTGTGTGGCTCTGGGTTTGCAGGGAGGCTGCCTCTGGGGCTCTGGGCCCTTGGGGCTGGGGCACTGCCGTGAGCCACAGCACAGAATGCGAAGACGGGCTGCAGACAGGAGCATGGGGTGTTGGGGCACAGGGCTGCAGGAGGTGCCCAGCCTGCTGGGAGACCCAACAAATGAAGGACTGAGCAAGCAGTTGTCTTCACGTCTGCAATGGGAAAGGGTCGGTGCCTTGCCCAGGTGTCACGGGGCTGAGGGACTGGAAATGGAGGCCACGGAAGGCCTGGGGTTCAGAGTGGCTCATCTGGAATCCACCACTGTGCTTCCCATCCCACATCCTGGCTCCCCAGCCCTCTCTGGCCCCCTTGCCAGGATACTCTTAGAGGTTGGCTGGCCTGTGCTTAGAGTGAGCTCCAGCGATGGCCCAGGTGGTTTCAGAAGCCAAGGCCCCAGCCCAGAGGACCCGCCATGCCCAAGACCATGGCTTTCAAACTTTGACTACAACATGAAATACATTTCGCATCACAGACCCCCCCTCATGCCCTGCCCCGCCCTGCCAGACAGGCCTGCTTATTTATTTAGAGAGAAAACAGACTCATAACTTTCATAAAGGAGTCCTTACTCCTGGAGGGTATTCAGATACTTTCTATTTCACTTTACGAAGATGCTGGTGGCAGACTTCCCTGAATGGCTTTCACAATTACGTGTTGACCTGCAGCTGAAACTGAAGGCTTGGGGGAAAAAGAGGGAGGGCTTCCCTCGGGCGGAGAGAGCGAGCCTCCCCGGCTCTGATCCACCCGGTCCCCCACCCTCTCTTTTATCTCTTTTACAAGTCAGGGCCTGGCCAGAGGGAAAGGGGGAAGCGGGGTCTGTATCTTACAGCTCACCAAGGGAGAACTGGAGGGAGGGGAAGCCCGGAGGGTTCACAAAGCTGCAGTCGTGCCTCTTCAGCCTCTCTGGCTTTTCATTGTGAAGACACTTGTCTTTTATCTCTGACCTCGCTCCCTAGCAATAACCCTGATTCCCAAATCCCTTCACTCATTGCTTCCAGCCTGTGGGTCTGAGCCCCTGGGGAGGGGGGTGTGGGGGGGCAGGCAGGAGGGTGATGACAAGCAAGCCCAATTGTTCCTGCCTCTCTTTCTGGAAGGCTTCCAGAATACTCCACACCCAGACCACGCACCTGTTCTTCTTCCCTCCCCCACCCACCAGTTACCGGAGGTGTTAGTGTCTGAGGAGAACTGGTAACCGAACTCACTGTGGCCGAGACATTTACACCTAAGGAGATAACCATCTTTTCATTAACCGCAGGGCTGCAATTAGCTGATTGTCCTCTGCTCTAGGTGGGGGAGATGAATTGAACCTGACCTGGTTCTGCTTTGCAGCTTTAGCTGGGGCCTTTGAGGTGTGACCACAAACCTAGAAGACTGTTGGTTGTAGAGAATGCAGCTAGCGCCTGCCAGGCGTGGGTCTCCCGCCAGCTGTGCTAGAATCATTGGAGAGGGCTTAGTGAAAACGCAGGCTCCCAGGCCCCCTCCCTAGGCTGCCTGAAGCAGCATCTCCAGGAGCGGGGCCCAGGAACCAGCATTTAAACACATTCCTTGGCTTACTTTGGTGCTCACTGATGTTTGAGAACCATTACCGAAGAGTCTAAAAAATCTTCTAAGTCCTAAGTCAGAGCATGCCCGGCCCAGCTGCATCCCATGACCCCCAGGAACCTTAAACCCAGCTTAGGGCCATTGGTCACTTGTCCCGAGTCCAGAAGCGTTTTGGGAAAGATGGTGTTTAGAGCCACGCCTTTCATTTTGTATACAAAATAGTGTGTGTGTGTGCGCGTGTGTAGTGTTTATATCTAGGCCCTCAGTGGCCAGGTCAGCCCCCAAGGACTCCTAGCTGTTTCCAGAAGCCAGGCCATTTTTCAAAGACATGATTGACCTCCCTGGAGGAATATGCTGCAGACTAGAGGGTTGACCAGTGAGCACACTTCAAAAATAGGTGTCTGGCTGCCCAGGGGGTGTTCAGACGCGTTGGAGATGGGTGGTCTGCCATCCTTCCTGCCGAGAGGCCAGATGGTGACAGGGGAAGAGCCCGTGAGAGCAAACCCCAGCTCTTAATCAGTCTGGGGCTGGCCAGGCCCTGCAGAGCCTCGGTTTCCTCACCTGTGAAAACGGGGGCCCCTAGACCCTACCTAAGAGGTGGTTGCAAGGAAAACATCAAGTGGTTGGCATTTGATAAATATTGTTCGTTATTATTACTTGAGAGGCGGCCCTGTTTGTTGTCTGCATTGTGGCTAAGAGACAGGGGGTAAAGTTTGGCTGCAAGGTTGGGCCATTGTCTACTACAGAGAATGCGTGGAAAAATTAGAGGCAAGATACTAGTAAGTTACACGTCTGGTGAGTAACTGCGTCTTCGGGAAAGGCATCTAAAGGCTTGAGAGGCCAGAGCCGCGTGCTGGGGGGTGACATGTGTCCTTTCAGAGTCCTGGCCTTCGTCCCTGTGCTCTAACGGCTCTGCACATGGGACATTCTAATAGCTGAGGCCCCTTCGTGGGAGCCACCGCCTCCAAATAGAGAAGCTGTGCTTTTATTTACCTACACATTTACTTGTGTATTGATTTTCTGTATACAGTTTTACGTCTAATTTTTTTCTTCGATATATAACACTCAGTGAACGTACAGTAAACCGTGTGTGAACTCACCATGCAAGTCAAGAAACTAAGGGCCACGGCACCCCTGTCCAAGTCGTCACAGTGTTAAAAAAAAACCCCATCTCTGGTGCAGTGAGTGTCCACTGTGTATTTAACTTACGAGGAACCAGTGGGAGGATGTGACAGGCAGAGGGGCTGCCTCGTCAGGAAAGAAGGTGCTGGATAAAGTTGGGTGCAGAACCGGTTGATGTCCTGCAGGACCATAAACCCATGAACTGCAGAGATATCCTTGTTACAGGCAGAAATCCTTTGCATTTCGATTAGAGAAAAATAATTAGCAGCTTATATTCTGTAGGTTAGTGCCAGCCTTTAGAACCTGGGCCTCATTGGTAGAAAACAGTGAAGTCGAACAAAACTTCAGCCCCAGAGTCAAGTGGCCCAAAGGTGGGCTTGTTGTACAATCTTATAGTTTAATTTTTCAAAGTGTGCTGCTCTTCATAATTTTAATATGTAACTCTGTGTTTCTAAACGCTGTAATTTTGTTTGAACTGATATTGTACCTGTTGCAAGTATTCTTTTGTACCTCACTTCTTTTGGGCAACACTGGGCTTAAAGATTCACCTCCATGTTCGCACGGAGTTGTGGGTCCTCCTTCTTCTTTGTTGTATAGTATTCCATTTCAGGCTTCTACTGCCTTTTATTGATTCTGGTGGATATTTGGAACGTCTCCATGCGCTGGGTACATCCCCACACAAAATGCCCTCCTGCCCTCTCCTAGCACGCTCCCCAGCTCTCTCCCGAAATAAAATTAAATAAATGGAGGGAGGGGAAAAAAGGAAGGAAGGAAAGAGAGAGCCACCCTCATTCATACTTCCTAGTGTTCCCGTGGAGTGGAAGTGCTGGGTCTTACCGAGTAGGTTCCTTCGGCCAGATGATGTCGGGCCGTTTTCCAGGCGGCTGTACTGATTTACTCTCCACAGTGTGGAGGGTTCCCGTTGATCTGCGCCCTTGGACTTGTCTGTCTTAACCATTTTCATTGTATGTCATGGCATCTCCTTGTGGTTTTAACTCCCCTTTCTCTGACGACTAGTGAGATTGAGCACAGATTTTCATTTGTTTTTAAGAACAAAACACGGTTAGTTTCCGACAGGGAGCTGCGTAGTGGTGATTGAGAACTCAGGATCTGATGTGAGAACTGGGTTCTGACTTACCCACCTTTCAACCGTCTCTTGAGGCTTGGGGATGAGCATATACATTTTTCTTGGACTGACTGAGAAAAGGAAATGAATCAAGCATATATGGGCACCAACTAGGCCCTCAACAAATGGAAGATGTTACAAAAATAGACCCTGGCTAGTGAGCGGATTGTTCCGTCCGGAGCCTGGTGTCCCCTTGTCAGCCGTGATGCAGAACCATGTGGGAGCGGCGTGTGGAGTCAGGCCTTCGTTTCCATCAGGGAGCAGGGGGCTCAGGAAAGAGAATGTCAAGTGGCAGAGAAAGTGTGTTTTCTTCCGTTTGGGAGTGGACCCTGCAGTCCTGGCTAGCGGGGGCCCGGGTGGGTGGGCAGAGCCCTTAGGCCGGGACCCCTAACCACATTCATTTAGACGTCATGGCACCGTCAGAGCGTGGTGTCCTTCCACGGTGGCCCAGGGCACTTCTTCACCTGGGCCTCTGTTGCTGTTTCTGGACTTAGGGTGACTTCCATTTGGGGTCTTGGAAGATCAGAACTTCGATGAGCTTGGAGCAGGCATGAGCCAGGCCTTTGGAATCTAGAAAATGTTTCTTTCCCTTTCAGATGTGCTAACAGCCTTTAATGTGCCCATTTGCTCCTCAAACCATTAGGTCAGTCAGCAGAGGAGTAACACAGATCCCTCCCTGGCTGGGGAGGGGAGGGGAGGGGAGGGGAGGGGAGGGGAGGGAGGGGAGGGGAGGGAGGGGGGGGAGGGAGGGGAGGGAGGGAGGGGAGGGGAGGGGAGGGGAAGGGAGGGGAGGACACCGCACTGACGTTCTGTCCAGCTGCCCAGGCAGAGGCGAGCTGCAGCCTCACTCCTCTCCCTCCGCTGCCTCCTCTGTGCGCCTCTCCTGAGTTTACACACCTGGTGTCCTCTTGTCCCAAAGTTAGTGTGACCTCGAGATTGTCATCCCTTCTGAGACTGAGAGGGTGCTGTTCGTATTTATGCCAGAACGGGAGATGCGAACCAGGACTCCGGGCAGATGCGGGCATGTGGCCGCCTGGCCCCACGCTTGTCCTTGGGAAGGGGCCTGTCTGGCTGTGACTTTGTCCTCATGTGCCCAGCCTCAGCCCTCACTGGGTAATGAAAGCTCCGCCTCGGGAAGTCATTTAACTTCTGAGTTTCATTGTCCTTTTCCTCAAAGTGGGAATTAAGGTGGACCTGTCCGATTTACACCTTAGGGTGACTGCCACTCAGGCCAAGGGAGGTACTGTGCAAAGAGCCTTGATAGATTTACGAGCAGATGTGAAGGTCATCACTGAGAACAGCAACAGGCGGTACCTGCCTCGGTGGGGAGAGGGATCTCTCACGTTCGGCTGCCACTGTGTCGCCCGCCTGGGTCGGACGGCTCTAATTTTATAAATGTTTGCCCACGTATAGTGTCTTTTTAAGGAGCAAGATCGAGCCCACCAGCCAGCACTTGCTTCCCACTCTGGGACTTCATCAGGTTCCTAGAGCTGCCCGAGAGCCTTCGCGCCGCCTGGGAGCAGATGGTACCGTGGTGCCGTGCACAGATGAGGACACTGAGGCCTGGAGGGGAAGGGACTCTCCCAAGGTCACACGAATAAGTGAAGGGCTCATGATCTTTCAGGACTGAGACAGGAAGGGGATGCTGCAGCCTGTGACAAGGACCGAGTCTGTGGGACGCGGATCGGGGATGGCACCAGGCCTTGGCTCCTGCAGGGAGATGTGCACTCCTCCCCGGGGCTCTGTGTCACCCCCACTACTGCGGACGGTCACGCTCAGAGAAGGGGCCTGCTGCCCAGGGTAGCTGGGCCCCCAGCATCAGGGATACCTGGCCCCCCGCTGGCCCCCTTAGGGCCCAGTCAGGCTTCTGTCCGCCTCCACGTATGCCCTTGCCCTCCCCCGGCCATTGGCTCCGACTCCGGGTCCAGCCTCTTTTCATTAACAGAAAGTAAACACAGGAAGCTGACCCTCCCCACTCCCAGGACAAAAGTCAGAAGGGCAGTTGCCTTGTGAGCCTAGAGGCCTCAGGAGGAGTGAACCCTCTGCTTGTCCCCATGACCGATCGCTGGACAGGGCTCACTGGGGGAGTGGGGCTGGGGGAGTGGGGCTGGGGGGGCCTCACCTTTTCCCCTTGTCTGAGAACTTCACCCTGGGGTGCTCTTCTGCGAGGAAGTTCAGAGATCTGATGAGTTTTCAGCCTGGCCAGGGCTGGCTCTGCCTCTTCAGGAATAGGTTCAGACTGTGATTTCTCCATTTGGGTGTGAGGCCCTGCTTGGGTGGAAAAGGAAGGGGCAGGAGGAGGGGAGGGCTGGTCCCGACCCAAACGCCTAAGTGAGGTCCTGGGCTTTGCTGCTGCCGGCCTGCCCTCCTGGCCCAGGCTGCAGCGAGCAGCCATCATCCGAGCCAGCAGAAGGATGCAGGTGTGCCCCATGGCCCACGCCCACAGACCTTTAGCCCAGTTGCCAAGGTGAAAGCCCTGCCTGGCCAAGTGTTAACTCTTGTCCTCCCTGCAAAGCTGATGCCAAGGGTGGGGAGAGAAGGCAGCAGAGAAGGTGGGAGTGGGTGGCCAGAGAGGCCCACCCCGGGCCAGGCAGCTCCTCAGGCGTTGGCCAGGGTTCTAGGGCACAGGGTCACTGGTCAGGACAGAGGGCAGGCTTTGCCTCCCTCCTCTCCCACCCCCATTTTCCACTGGGAGAATCACCGGGCAGGACGCTGGTGAAGAGGAAGTGAGAACCAGCTTCCAGTCGAGTGGTCTGAGGCCTACAGAGAATTCAAGGCTTGGGCCTGCCCGAGTCAGGACCCATTTTTCTCAGTGTCCTGCTCTCTGAGTTTCCTCTGGGTGTGAGGGGAAGCTATTCCGTCACTCTCCATCCCACTTCCTCCCCCACACCCAGCCCTGCGTGGCACTGCTGGGTCACTGAAACCGTGGGCCTCCCCTTGGTCGCTCTCCTCCCACTGGTTCCTCTCTGAAGAGCCAGCAGAGCCGGGTCCGAAAGGTGGGCTGCGGGCCACTGGCCCCTGAGACGCGGGGAGAACGCCTTAGACTCCTGGCCCTGGTTCTTTCTCATCTTACACTTTTTCTATACATATCTTTTGTGTAAGTTTTACAATACACTTTCCATCTCTGTGAAATGATACTCTATGTAATTTATAAAATGCACGTGATTTGGGAGGACTGTGCTGACACATTTCACATGTTGCTGTGCAGCTATTTGGTCAGGCAGCGGTCAGCACACGCTTCCTGTAAAGGGCCAGAGAGTGAATATTTCGGGCTTGGAGGGCCATTTGGCTGCTGCGGCAGCTGCTCAGCTCAGCAGTGATAATAGCATGAAAGCAGCCACAGACGGCAGGGACATGCATGGGTGTGGCTGTGTCCCAGTAAAACTTTACTTCTGGACACCGAAATGTGAATGTCAGGCACGGTGCATGTGTCACAAAATGTTCCTTTTGGGCCCCCCACTCCCATCATTTAAAAAACGAAGTAATTATTCTTACTCACGGACCCTGAGCAAATGGGCCAGTTCGCCGACCTCTGCTCTGGATCCCTGGTTCTCAAATGTAAGCCTGCTTCTGACTCACCTGGGAAGCTTTTAAAAAAATTCGTCGTCCAGAACCCTGGCCCTGATTCTGTCTGTGCCACAGAAGGCTCCGGGACCCGCCTTCGAACGAGCAGCCCAGGTGGGCAGGAGGCAGATCACCTGAAGAGCAGATTCATGAGAACGTGGCTCTGGAAGGTCTGCAGGGCCTTGGCATGCTCGGTCAGCTCAGCCAGTTCTTGCTGAGTGCTGGGGCTTGGGACCGCTCCAGGCCTCTTACTGCCCACTTTTGGAATCTGATCAGAGGAAGAATCCATCTCCAGGAGAATGTCCAGCCTGACATTTCTTGTCCCCAAAGGCTGGGGTCCTCAGGAGAGCATGCTTGGGCACTGTCCTCCATGCTCATGCTGACAAGAGGCAGGACCACCTGGTACTGATTAAGAGCACAGGCTCTGGAATTTGCATGTTCTTGGGCAACTCCCCTTGCCTTTCAGTGTCTTAGCTTCCTTCTTGTGCGTTAGGGAGTTGTAATCACCCCGTCGTAGGTGCGGACAGGTCAGCTGGGCCATGACGTGGAACACCAAGCGCAGTGCCTGGCACCTAGTAGGTGCTCAATAAACAGTCACTGCTGGGGCTGCTCTTGACCAGAGTGGAAGCAGGGCAGCCCCCCGTCCCAGCCACTGGCACATGAAAGTGACCACTCGCATTTGTCTGGTGCCTTAGCTTAGGTGGCTGTTTTCCATTGGTCATCTCATTGCATCCTCCTGCTACCCCGGGGTGTAGATGCCCGGGTCCGGTTTTACAAAGGTGGAAGCTGAGGCCCGGCAGGGTTACGTAGCTCATTCAAGGACACACAGCCCGTGCACTCCTACGAGAACCTGGCTTTCTCTGCCCAGGGCCCAGGGGAAAGTCTCCCCCATCCCAGGATGTGGAGTGGCAACGGGAGGGAGACTAGGTTGGTTTTTGGTGGGTTCTTTACCCAGTGCTTTCGGCCCCTTCAGATAAAATACCACGAGGAGTTCGAGAAGAGCCGCATGGGCCCCGGCGGGGGAGAGGGCGTGGAGCCCGAGCGCCGAGATTCCCAGGACGGCAGCAGCTACCGGAGACACCAGGAGCAGCAGCAGCCCCACCACATCCCGAGCAGCGCCCCAGGTGGGCATGAGGCCGGCGAGGGTAGAGGCCCTGAAGCCAGGCCACCTACAGGATGGGGATAAGCCTCATTCATGCATGCGCGGGCGGGCGCAGCTCCTGTGGCGGCATACACAACACCTGGAAGTGTGCAACGCACAGTCACCTCTGAGAAGTGGGGGGTTGGGCGGGGCTGTGGGGATGCAAATACATGGTATGGGTTTGGTGAGGAGGGGAGAGGGCTCTGGGAGGGGCTGTTTTAGCAGGACGGTTTCTGAGCCCTCTCTCTTCTGTCTTCCAGTTTTCCAGCAGCCCCAGCAGCAGCAGGCGGCCCCGTCCTACGGGGGCTACAAGGAGCCCGCAGCCCCAGTCTCCATACAGCGCAGCGCCCCAGGCGGTGGCGGGGTGAGTAGCCCTGGCCAGAGGGTAGAGACAGGAGGGTGAAGAACGGAAGAGCGAGACCTGAGGCAGCCAGAGATTGATAGGCCTAGGAAGGACCCAAGTCAGAGATTTTTCTTAGAAACCCCACCACGGAGGCCTGGCTTGCCCTGATTTTTGACCCCAGTTCGTTTGTCATCTGCAGCTGATAAGGATCTCAGCCTCCTGGGCAGGGCCTTAGCAGGGCCCTGGGGGGCCCTGTGTTCCAGCTCCGCCCCCCACTTCTTCCCCGTCGGCCCCCACACCCAGGTTTTCTTAGTCCAGCCACCTGGGGGTGGACAAAGCACTCTTCTGCTCTGGGCTTCCCAGACTTGGGCTCTGCTCCCCACTCTCTGACCACCCCCCATGTCCTTCAGCTCTCAGCTTGCCCCTGCCTCTGAAGGGCCCTCCCAAAATATCTCAGTCGAGTGGGGCTCCCCTGACATTGCTGTCACTCCACCCCAGTGGTGTCCTTTAGAGCACTCTGAAACTGAGAACAGTTCTATTTATTAACTTCAGTGTCCCCCATTGGACTTGAAGCTCTGAGTGCGCAGGGCATTGCTCTGGTTCGCTTACCGTGAGCCAGGCACAGAGTGGGCCCTCCTCAACCCTGCTGAATGAGTGAACGAGCACAGAGGGAAGTTAGGCCTTCTTATCAGTGCTTAGAGTTGAGGTTCCAGCTACTCACAGGTGCAGCCGAGCCACCCTCGTGGAGCTCCCGGCTTGAGCTCAGCTCCTCTGGGCTGTGAGCCTGGAAAGTCAGAGCAGCTCGTGTGGGAGCAGCAGGGACGATACTTAGAGGAATAAACTAGCCAGTCCTTCACGTGCTAAGCATGTCCTGGACAGGAGAGATTTGACTCTGAATAAAAGACCCTCTTGCCCTCTTGGAGCTCACATTCCAATCTGAAAGACGAACAAGAAAGCAGTAAGGAGATAGACGATGAAAGGTCAGGTGGTGGTGGCCTGAGCCATGAAGAAAAAGATCGTAGTGGGGTAAGGGGAGACAGACCAGCGAAGTCCTCAGTAAAGCAAGTAAAAGGTGCAAGGAGTCCAGCAAGTGCAAAGGCCCTGAGGCAGGAGTGTGCTAGGGGATTCAAGGACCAGCAGGACGGCTAAGGGGACTGGAGAGGGGATGAGGGAAGGAGATGAGGTCAGATCATGCAGGGACTTGTAGGCACAGGGAGGCCTTTTTGACTGATGAGCTATGTATACAGAGAGAGGGGTTTGACCTGTGTTTTTAAAAGATCGCTCTAGCTGCTGTGTTGAGAAGAGGCCAGGGTGGAAGTAGAGACGTGAGTTAGGAGGCTGTTGCAGAATACAGGCATGGATAGATGGTGGCTACTCAGCCCACAAGGCAGAACCAGGTTGGTGATAAGGAAGCTCGCATCCCATAGACTCGGGGGCTAAGGGAGTAGGTTTTTGTTGTTTGGGGGAAAAGTTTGAAATGTAGTGCTAAAGAGGATGGGGAACCTGAGGAGGATTTGAAGCCAGGGAGTGACATGATCTGGTTTGCATTTCGGGAAGTCCTCCTGAAAGTGAGTGAGCAGTGAGGGGGGCAGAGACTGGTCTGAGCAGGGGACACAGAGGGGCGATGGAGGGGCTCGCTTAGCCCTGGACCTGCTGGTACTGGGCCCACTGCCAGCCCCATGTAGGTCCCAGGGCCTGGCCCCAGAACCACAAGGCTGAGCTGACTCCCCCAGAGATCATTCAATGTCAAGGGCAGTAAGGTTAGAGAATCATGCCCACCTCCAAGACCACAGTTGGAACTCGTGTGCTTTCACTGGGTTTTTCCTAGAGCTTAAGTGTAAGTCTGGCTGAGGTTGCAAGGTGGAAGTCTCTCATGGTACCTGGAGATTCTTCTCCCAAGAATAGGCCTTTGTCCTGAACTTGGGAATGAAGCCAGGCTTATCACAGCTTCAAAAAAAGAAGACAGGCTGGCGTTTGCAGTAATACAGATAACAGTGTACAAGGCATATCGTATTTTGAAACTAACTGGCAGTGTGTCCTTGGGACCTTACTGCATTCCTCTTCCAAGAGGTGGGGCCAGGCTGTTGGGACCTCAGTCCCTGTCTTGTGCCTGCCTCTCAGTAGATGCCAGGTAATTGGGTGCTCTCAGAAAGTGAGACAAAGAGGTGAGAAGCTTCAAGGCAGAGCCTAGCCCTTCCCTGTCCCCCAGGACGGTGGCTCAGTGCTCACCCAGGCTCTGCTCAGGGCCCCAGACAAGAAGGAAGGAAGGAAGGTGGCCAGCCCCGCCCCCACCCCGGCCGCCCTGGGGGGCGCTGGGCCCTGGGCAGTGCTAGGCCCCTGGCTGATGTGCCCCCTCCCCTGCAGAAGCGGTACCGTGCAGTCTATGACTACAGCGCTGCCGACGAGGACGAGGTCTCCTTCCAGGATGGGGACACCATCGTCAACGTGCAGCAGATTGATGACGGCTGGATGTACGGGACCGTGGAGCGCACGGGCGACACGGGGATGCTGCCGGCCAACTATGTGGAGGCCATCTGAGCCCGCGGGCGCCGCCTCGCCCACCCTCCTCCAGTGCATTCCACGGCATCGCATCGTCTTGGGCGTGGCCTGCCCGCCCTTCCGTGTCTCTTGTGTTTTCAGATCTGCAACAGCTTGTTTCTTCCCACTCTCCTCCAGCTGCTTTCGCCAACTGAAGCCTTGTTCTGCCACTTTCGCGGGCTCCTTCCTCTGGCAGGTTTTCCCCATGACCAATGTCTTGGTTTTCTCTCTGGATGGAACAGGTGTGGACCTTCCCGGGGGAGGCTGAGGTCCTTGGGGCCGCTCTGGAACGGGGGTCCCGTGGGCTCCCAGGCCTCTGCCTTCTCTCTCTGTTTTGGCCCCTCGGACCCTCCCGCCCACCACCTCACACACCTGAACATTCCGGGCTGGGGTGAGCCCCAGACCCCCAGGCCTCCCAGGGCAAGGACTCCACACATTCCCCAGAGTGGGGCCCCGCCGCCCTGGTCCCTGGGGTGGGACTGCCACTGTGTAGGCGCCAGTGAGAGGGCTTGGCTCCTAGAGATGGGGCTGCTGGCCCTCTGAGGGGTCCCCTCACCACCCTCTCCCCTTCTCAGAGACAGCGGAGGAGGGTGCAGTTCCCACTTTGGGGTCCGTTTCTCCTCACACCGGTCCTCCGCACACTGTGATTTTGCTCTCCTGTGCCCGCAGACCGGGTGTGGGCTTGGAGCTCCCCAGGAAGCACGGCTTGGGTCAAGTCCTGGCCTTTCTCACTTGTAGGGACAGCTGCAGGAAGGAAGGGAACAGGGTGTTCTCTCCCGTAGCCCTTTTTTTGCCTCACTCTTCCCAGTCCCCGAGGACCCTGGCTTGCCTCCTTGACTGGACGCTGTGGTTCTCAAAGGGGAGGCAAGGCAGCCTCAGGCCTTTGGCCTTAGAGGCTCAGCCCCCCGAGATCTGGGCCGGGGGGGCCACTCCTCCCGACTCCTCATGGCAGGGTGCCTTCCCTTGGCCTCCCCACCCCCGCCCGTCCCCCAGTGGACTGGAACCATGTGAAGCCACAGGATCTTCCATGTCTCCAGGACTTAGCATGTGGGGGGAGGGGCGTGTGTGTCTGCAGGTGTGTGAGCCAGAGTGAGTGTGAGCGAAGGGGCAGGGTGCGGGTGGCAGGAGTCTGTGGGCTTACGTGGGGGTGCACAGAACAGTTCTCCCCTAATACTTTTCTCAAAACCCACGGGGGGGGGCAGGGAAGAGAAGTTCCTTCATTTTCTTTGGATGAAAATTCCTCCTTCCATCCAGAAACAGAGGCAGCCCACCTACCCTTCTTGCAGTGTGCTGGGCAGAAGTGAGGGGCTGGTGGGAGATGCGTGGGGCTGACAGAGCCTGCTGAGACGGGTGGGGGAAGGCATCGTGGCTCCAGGCACATTCTCGTCTGCTTTCCCTGTGTCCCGCGCTGCAGACAGGCGCCAGAGGAGCCTGCGTTACCTACGCTGTGGGTGCCTTACTCTGGGGGCTCTCGCCCCAGTCCTCTCCCTTACTTAACTAAAGTCCCCTTGAGGTGTTGAGAGAGGGTCCCAGGGCTACAAAACTGGACACACAGACCCTGGGGTGAGGAAGGGAGAGTGGTGCTATCTCCAGGTCCCTTCTGTCCCTCGCTGGAGGCTGTGACAACCCTGTCCTGGCTTCATTCATCTCTAGGCTTTCTCGTTCCCCTCTGGGCCTCCCCCTCCATCTTCGCCCTGTAGGACAACTTTGCATCCTCACACCCTGCGGTGGTGGGCCGCAGGCACAATGGGCAAGTCCTCCCCGCCTGTGAGTCAAGTTGGAAATATTTACCCCAACCAGAGAGCTTAGGAAATGACTGAGGGGGAGGAGCCCCTGCCTGACCAAGCACCCCTTTATCTGCTTGGCCTCAGCCAGGTGAGGACTGGGGGAGGGTCTCATACTGGGTGATTTGGGGGATGAGGGAGCGATATTGGGGGCCTTGGGAGAGGCGCTGGGTCACCCTGTTTCCTCTTGATCTCAAAGCACAACATGGATTGTGGGACCAAAGGTCAAAGATGTGTCCTGCAGAGAGAGGATCTGTGGTCGGACGGGCGGAGGAGGAGCAAGGAACAGCCTTTTAACTCAGCTTCATTTCCCTTCCAAAACAAGGCAGGCCAGCCACTGGAATCTTGCTGCTGGCCCTCCGCTCCTCCCATCCTAAAAATAGGGGGCCTTTTCTTATACACCCCAGAGAGAGGAGGGACTGGTGCTGAAGGACGCAGGGGCTGCTGGGAGTCCTGTTCCTTTCCAGAACTATCCATCCCTAAAAGAGCACAGACGCAGGGGCTGGGTGGAGGCCCAGGTCTTCTCTCACAGTTCACAGAGGTCTTTTAGCCTGTATCCCAGGAAAGAAGATACAGCAAAACTAGAATGTGAATATAACGTTAGTGGACCAATAACAAAACGCAAGAAGCCCAATAGTGAGACAGTGAATTTTCTCAACACTGCTTCCTGTTTTCTTCCTGATGTCCCTCCAGGGAAAACTATTGCTTAATTTCTGCCTTTTTTCCCCTTCACATAAGCACTTTTGGGCCTCCCCCCTTTTTTTTAATAGCTGGAAAATGCCACCCACAGACCTGTATTTAAAAAGAAACAGAATTGACCGTGTGAAATTTGCCTCTGTCCAGACATTTCATCCGTGTGTGAGCCGTCATTCATCCTTTTATATGGGGTGGTTGTCTTCCTGGTCTGTTTGGTCCCCTCCCTCGTGGGCTTGTGCTTGGGATCCAATCCTTCTGGCCTGTTATGATTCTGAACATTTGACTTGGACCACAAGTGAATCTGGTGACTCAAATAAAAGTATAATTTTTACCTGCGGACTTCGTTTTCTCTCTGGCTCAGACGTGCAGCTGGTGTGTGTGTGCCATCTGTTTGGGGGCGTCGGCCCGTCACTCTCCTGGGAGCCCTGCCATCCTCCAGGGAGAGACCAGTTTGGAAGCTGTCAGTCTAGGGTGGCAGTTTGCCTTGGCACGTGCTCCCTGCTTGTGGAGGACTTCCCAGCGTTCTGCTCTGGCTACATCCGCCCGCCCGACTTGCGGGCACACCCAGAAGCCTCCCTGAGTTCCTGTACTCCCCGACTGCCCCCACTAGCCAGGCCACTCCCAGGGCAGGAAATGGGTCAGGTTCATTTTAAACCCTCAGAGCTTGCGCAGGGCCAGGTGCAACTGCTCTGCCAATATTTGTTGAATTAACGAATGAGCTCAGCAGGCGGGCAGTTGCAGCTCTCTGCTTGCTCATAGTAGGGACTCAGCTCTCTGCTCGGCATCCTTGAGGAAAGGAGATGATGGAGAGACAGGGACAGTCTGCAGTCCCTGCAGGGGAGGGAGAGGGAGGAGGCCATCTGCTGGGTGGTCTGATGAACCAAAGCGGTATTCAGGATACCTTATGAATGTGACCTTGAACACAGGTTTTTTAATTTGATCTTATTAGCATGATACCTTATGAATGTGATTTTGAGCACAGGTTTTTTAAATTTGATCTTATTAGCATGATACCTTATGAATGTGATTTTGAGCACAGGTTTTTTAAATTTGATCTTATTAGCCCTGGGAGAGAAGTAACTACCTCAATGTCCATCTTACAGATAGGGTTCACTTAAACCCAGAAAGTTGGTGGGAGTCTCGCACAGCTGGCTGGAGACCCAGGGCTGGAGGCCTTAGGAACCCCAGCGTGATGCTCCCAGCCTCCCGCCACCTTGCTGGGGTGGGCTGTGTACCCGTGGGCGTTTCACGGCTCATTATGTTAATCTCCTGTGCTCTGTTCTTTGCTGCAGGACCCCGGGGGTCTCACCTTGGACTAGAAGGCCAGGCGGCCTCCTCCCTTCTGTCGGGTTGGGAAGGGGGCAGTGGTAGAGAAGAAACCCAGACCCTTCTGCCCTGGCTCAGGGCGACCAGTCCGTCTCATGTCTGGCTGTTTGTGGGGAGGGACATTTCCCATTTGGGGCTCAGGACGAAGGCATTCCCTCGCTTCAGGACAACAGCAGGGTGGAGAAGAAAAGGGCTTCCCCGAACTGAGCTTGACTTGAGCTTCCCTAATCAAGGGGATGATAACAGTCAGGTGAATGACAGGCAGGCCCGCGTGTCAGCAGGGCTGAGTGATGTGGGGAGCGTGGGGAGCACCAGGCAGCACTGGGTGGGATAATTAAAGACGCTACCGACACCTGCTTCTCTTCTGAAGGAGCCGGCTGCCTGATATTTTCCCACCAGGAGGGAATGAGTTGGCAAATCTTGCCTCTTGCAGGCCTTCCCCTTTTGTCTGGGATCCGCAGCAATTTGAGGGCACAGTCAGTCTGCCTGGCGGGTGGGGGGTTGGTAAGCGCTCTGCCTCCAGGGGATGGGCCAATGGGAGGAGTTGCTAGACCCTCTTCTACCAGCATGAGGAGGGGAGATACCAATTCTTCACCCCAGACCCTTCAAAAGACTAATTTGGGGACACAGCCATGGACATTAGGCCTCAGAGATGTCACAGGAAATTTTTTAATTTAGTAGGAAATAATTAAAGCATAAAAAGACATAAAAGCAACACAGCACATAACTGAATACCCACCACCCAGCATACAAAAATAAAATGTCAATTTTTCCCTTGCCCCTCAGAAGAAGCCACTTGAATTCGCCTTTCTAGACTCTGTTACTGCACAGGGATGGGCCTGCGAATTCTTTGGTGCCCTCCCTAGATGTAACACCAAGCGGGGCTCTCTGAAGAGGATACAAAAGGGACACGAGGACGAGAACGTGGGTAATGACCGCAGAGAGGCAAGGAATAGCGAAGGAGAGACCTCTGGTGCTCACACTGTAAATGGAGCGATCTGAGCCAAAACGCATCACAACCGGAGCAGCGGCGCAGGCAGGGCTGAGGGGCATTTCAGACCGAAGGTGGGGGCGGCAGTTGGGGCAAGAGGGAACAACGTGGACTCCGGAGTGTGCAAGCCGAGTTTTGATTCTTGGTCTCTGCCATTCCCCGTGGAACATCAGGCAAGCTCCTGACCATCTCGGGACGAGCGTTATTCACGGAAGACGGGAGGTTGAAATCACATCACATGCACTATTCGCTGCAGTTTAGAAACCCCTGTGCGTTAGAGACTCTCGGGACCCTTACAACTTGCCAGGGGCTCACCCACCTCCCAACCATTGTTTTTCTGAGATAATATGCCGTGATGCGCGAGAAGAAAAGGAAGACGGGCGGTCAGGAAGATTCATTCCTAAGGGATCTGGATAGAGATCAGATCTCCTCCTAAGTCCATGTCCTGCAGACTCCACTTCGATACAAAGGGGTGGCATTGGGTTCCTGGAGAGGAAATGAGCCTCTTCAGTTCTGCCGGGTCTCAATGAGCATTTTCTTGGTTACCCGCTGCCAGGCTTTATGATTGGTTGGCTGTGGGATGTTGGGGGAGGAGGGAAGCAGTTGATGGAGCTGCAGCATCCCTTAGTCTCCCCCTTGGAAGGGGGAGGGGAAAACGAGGGCCGAGCAGCGGAGGGAGGAGGGAGGGAGCCATTTCTCTCCGTTGGCTGCAACCTCCGTGCTCACAGCTCACATTTCCCTGGAATCCAGAGGCCTCCCGGCGAAGGACTCCATAATGCTGGATATCTTCATCCTGATGTTCTTTGCCATCATCGGCCTGGTCATCCTCTCCTACATCATCTATCTGCTCTAATGGCCTGCAGCTGCGGCGGAGCCCACAGCATGCTCAGCGGCGAAGCATGAAGCTGACTGGCCGAGCATCCTGCTTGTTGACGCACCGGTGGATTTTTGCTTCTGGTCATTATTTCGGGTATTGATTCAAAAACAAAATTAAAAGAGATCTTGTTTTTCTATTTTTTTTCTCAGATGCGTTGATGTAACATTTCTCAGGCCACTCAGAAAAGAGTAAGAACTGCCAACATTTTCTTTGCAACCATAATTTAAAATGATTTTTTTAATGAAAAAAAAAATGAAACCCATACTGCAAAGCCTTTTTAGGTAGAATGGGCAGGGAGTGGTGTGCATGATGGGAGGGGCTATAATTTCGTAGTTTTTTTCCTTCAAGTTGTTCTAACTCCGAAGTTGTCCATTCTCTCCCCTTAAGTAAAGAGAAACACGTCTTACATGCCCACCTAGTGGCTTACAATTATGGTTACAGAACTGCATTAATTAGTGACTCATTCTCACTTGCGGATGAGATAGGAAATGAAATTTACTTGGGAGTGGGGTTCTGCGGGGAGATGTCCATTCTTTCCCAACCGAGGGCTTTGACAGAGAGAGGAACTCCTCGTTCTTCTCTTAGTCCCCAGAGACAGAGACCAGCAGCAGGAACGGAGCCCTTTGCTGCCATTCCCATCTGAGGCTTGTCCTTTCTGGGTCTCTCACAGCTCCTGCTCGCCCGTCCAACAGGATGCCTCTATCAACAGCAGCAGACCTGCCGGCCAGCAGACCTCTTCCAGAGCCTTCCGGATACGGTCAACCCCTGTCAAGCAAGGGGCTTTTTCGGCTCAGAGGCTGAGGCACGAGGCCGGGACCTCAGGAACTCATGCACGTGGCTGGCAGGCGCTGTGTCCGTTTGAGCTGTAAGTGGAGGGTGCTGAGAAAGAACACAGAGAGCTGAAATGTAGACTCGTTAAAATGATCATGGAGAACTTCTCAAAATTCATTTTGATAGCCTTTCCTTAAGTCGTTCCTTTCCTCTCACGAAGGCGTTCCTTTTTAAGTCCAAGAGCACACTGCCTCTCTTCCTGTGGCCACTTTATCACTCTGTCTTTACAGCCTGCACAGTATGCGGTTATGTGGTTCCCCTTGTCTTAGTCTCTAGCCAGAAGGAACTTGTCATCTGAGTTTTTAAGATTTATTTTTGCTTCTCCCTACCACTTGCGCTCTGGCTTCTCATTTAAAGAAACAGTTATAATAGTCCCCATTTTTTGTGCCTGCTGAGTTATAAATTATTGAAACAAGATGGCTATACCTATCTTGTTATTTGGGGAAAAAATCTGTTACCCAAAAAATAAATGCTTTAAAAATTGTCAAATGTTCCTTTTATGGAAAAATAATAATAATGTTGACATATTTTCTGTCCAATTAAGGTTGAAGAAACCCTATATACTAAGCTTAAAGAAACATATATTTGGGAGTCCAGAGGAGACCTGGGCCCCAAACCTGTGGTACCTAATCCTTTTGAAAAATCCATCATAATTGTTCTACATTTGATTTTCTAGCTTAAAAATAAACAAGAAAGATGAACTTAATAGTTTTTAGTCATAACATTGTATTCAATTCCCATGTTTTAAAAGAAATAAAATTAAGACAGTATAATATAATGCCACAAAATGAAAAACTTGCATTTTAGAATTCTGGCCAATGAAAGACACTGTTCTAGAAGCTTCATCTTGGCAACAACTTACATGACCTTCAGTAAGTCATTGAACCTTTCAGGGTTTCATTTTGTTCTGACAAATGAGAGGGATGGACTAGAAAACTGTTAATGTCTTTTTCCATTTAAAAATTCTACAATTCTAGGATGCGTTTTCTTTCGAAACGACATCTTTGAGAAGAGAAATCCCATGGAGAAACAACTCTTAATAGTTACGTGTAGTCCACTTTTCTGCTCTCCCCAAGTGATATTTTATGATGAAAACTCAACTGCCAAACTCTTTTTTTGGCACGCTGTGAAAAGAAAACGACTGTTTACCCCTAACATACAGCAGTGATACTTTGTCTAAGCTGTTAAGGGAAGGTTAATAAGTACAGTACTACATGGTGGTGTGCAATAAAGACAGGTAATCTGGCAGATACACTAATCCAAAAAGCAGGGCTCTAAGCATTAATAGTCAGGGGTATCTTCAGTGATCTGTGAGGCCCTGACAGGACATTTCCCAGTAAAATGTTCCTTTGACTCTTTGGCACAGCTTTGTGCTTCAAACTAAAATTCCCTTCTTTGAGTCAAGACAGCAACTCTAGGTCCTTACCTAGGTAATTAGGGCAGGTGTCAGTACTTTGAAGGGGTCCAAGTAACAGAGTCAATTATTGTGGTTTGGGTCTTCATGGTATAGTTCTAGCCAAGCTTGCTCTGAAGTCTGTTACAAGGCCAAAGCTCTTCAGTCTGTCCACACAAAGTTGAAACAACTGACCAGCCAATTTCAGTTACGCACTGGTGAGATGTCCCACTGACACTGGGCACAATATAAGGACAGAACAGTTACCCATATTTTCAGTTACTTGTGAAATAATTGTATTTTGGAAGAAATTTTATGAGTTTTATGTCCATGTTATAATATGCCACGTTATAACTATTTTATAGTGTTCATCATTTTGATAATAGTTTTAAAAAGCTCCCATTGAAACTATTGGGGTTTTTTGTTTGTTTTTTTAAAAATTTTATTCAGTTATCTTTAGAGAGAGGGGAAGGAAGGGAGAAAGAGAGGGAAAGAAACATCAGTGTGTGGTTGCCTCTTGCTTGCCACCATGCTGGGGACCTGGCCCACAACCCAGGCGTGTATCCTGACTGGGAATTGAACCAACGACTCTTTGGTTCACAGGCTGGCGCTCAACCCACTGAGCCACACCAGCCAGGGATAAACTATTTGTATAGTGGCATCTTAAAACATAGTAAAACACTAGAAAAAGTTACTTCTGTAATATGAGGTTTTGTATACAGTGCTCAAGTCTGTGTCATAGGGCAATTGCGTCCTGTGAAATAGGGATTGTACTTGGCCTACATCAAAGTAGTAAAAAACATCTCTAAGTAATTGTAGATTACTTACAAAAAATGTGGCATAATACTATGAATCACTTCACTAATACGTGCTTTCTTAATTAAAAATAAGGGGCTTATATGGAAAAGTGATGTATTTTATTTCAGGAGAAAGGGGATATATATTTTAGGAAACAGTTAAATAATGGAAAGATAAATGTCACCAAGTTAGAATCACCTGACTCATTGCTCTGGGTGCATGGAATCAAATCCAAACTTTCTCAGTTTGAAACCTGGCATGACATAATTTATTAAGTTTCAGGAAATTTGTTTGCTGTTAAAAGCTTAAAATGAACATTATTCAAACTTCAGAAGCCCTTAAGAGTATCGTTTTAAATGACTCAAAAATAATGGGAATCTCTCTTAACAAAGTACAAAAGAATAGTTGAAGTGGAAAACTGTAAATTACATACTTTGCCTTTATAATCTCCAAATGTATGCTAAGTCTAGAATGGCCCATTCTAAGTTAGTTTTACTCCCATTTATTATAAACAAAAAGAAAATCAAACAGAAAGAGTCACTGACACAACTTCCATTATAAACTCAAACATACTAAGGAAGATGCATTTAGAAGTAGTTAACAACTTCTTTGTTCTTAGAAAAATACTGTAAGATCTTGTAGTCATGGGAAATTGCAGGTAATACACATACCTAATTACGTATTTGTTTTTTGACACTGGTGTGAAACTATGATAATTATAGCATATCTATTTTAGCAGCAATTGAAATATTAATCAGTTGAGAATTTGGTAGCAGAATAGTATAGAATACTGTTCTACACCCAGATGGTTACACAATTTGTGAGTCATTGAAAGTAAATGAAATCATTTAATTAATATACTATATTGTTAAGCATAAATATACATATATAAGTACATAGCTAATTGCAACATTATTTTAATACATTTTATGTTTTGATCATTGTTAGAGCTATAATTAACAGCTTAAATAAAAATAAATTCCTCTACAAGAAATAATTTAAAGGAATTACACATTCAGCAACTTACATAATGACAAACTCTGGAGAGGTTAGACATGTTTCTAATTTTACTTTATTAATATAAATAAATAACAACTTAAATAAAGTTAGAAAATATTAAATATTTAGGTATCAAAGATATTTTACTATAAACACAATACTTTAAAAATAACAATTTTTCTCAATTCTGTGCACCTTGAAGAAAGCAGTGATCTTAGGACACCTCCAAGTAGTTTTTCTTCATTTAAAAGGTTTTCAAGGTTTACATTAAGCTTTTTAAAAGTATAGGTACTTGAGGAATTTTCTGCAGTTATATTTGCTTTCTTGATGGAAAAAAAATCTTAGTTCTTTGGCACTTTTTCTTAACCTAGAGAAGACTGTCCAATACAACCACCTTTGAGGTCATCTTCCTTATTTTAGTGACGATGTCTCAGTAAGCCAAGGAGCCTAGGGCACAGCCTGATTCTTACAGGTTTCAGCTACCTGCCAGGGGAACCAGTAAAGGCGTTACACTGCTAGTGAGGTAGCCAGTAACACAGAGGCCTTTGTAGCGGCTTTGTGTTTTTACCCTTCACAGTATTTATTGACATAAAAATCTGTAATCATATAATTCAGTGCCATTCACTTCAAGAGGTAAACTCAGGTCATAACCCCACAAAGAGGTCAATGTTCGTTTTTTATCGACTAAGGTGGTTCCTCCATTGCACCTCGTGCTGAGCACTTCACACTTCACACTTGCTCTAATCTCCAAAGGTGAAAAATCTTTGTTATTAACAGAACAACTGGAAGCATGAACTAAGTCATCTGAGGATGGAAAAGGGGCCCATTGTTCATGCTATGGAGAGCAGCCTTGAACTCTTAAATGCCTGAAAGGTTTCCCAAATAATTTACTGCCTGCATTGTGAAAACGATAAAGTTGAGGAGTCAGAAGGGCAGAAGGAAGCACCCAAGAAAGAATAGAAGTTTTATAGTTTCAAAAGGTACAGAGTATTTATCACAAGACATAAACTTTATATTAGTTTGTAAGAAAAGTAGCATCCTTTTTTGGTTATTAGTATTATTATGGTGTCATGTGTGTATATTTAGAGACAAGAGTAAAGATAAACTAATGATGTATCATTGAGTCTTTGGGGCTTGCTTTCTAGTAGAAGTAAAAATCACCCTACAAACTGAAGGCAAAGGAGACTGAGGAAATCACTATCAAAAGGGATGAAAGAGCTAGAAGCCCAGGCTAATCTTCTATGTCAGAAGAAGGTCCAGGATAAATGATCTGACCTGCTAGTAATTTACGTCATTGTTATTCTAACTGTCCTAGAGTTAGTTAGAAGTGGGCAGTCCCTTAATGCTTTTGGACTATTCATTTTGCAGATGTCCCTTTTTTGTGGCACTATGATTGCATAAGGCAGAACTTAAACATCCATGTTAATAATACATGCTTTTGCAAATTAATCTGCCACTTTAAAACTTGGTATCGTATTTTATTCCTAATGACAAATGTATTCAGCAAAAAACTGGACTGCTGAATTGAGGAAACTGCAAATTTAGTCTCAAATGTTATTTTATCTATTAATAATTGAATGAAAATTTTTCATTTACTTTATATTGGTAGCAAGATGATATATCATTTATCTACTGTACCCAAAGAATGAATCATATTTTTTATGTTCCAAATTTCTAGGGAAGGTGAGATAACAATCTCACAATTATCAAGAATAATACAATAATGTGTCTTTAAAAATACACAGCAGCAGTCATGTCAGTTCAAGTGTGTAATGAGATTCAAAATCCAGGTCAAAAATCTTTTAAATTAAACCATTTTTCTTTCCTTTGTAAACTTTCTAAAAACAACCGCTGTAGAGATCTTGGCAATTCAAGGAATGCTAGGAAACCTCAGAAAGCCAAGTTGCTTCTCTATGAGAATGAAACAATCTCTATCTAGTAAGTTATTTAAAATATTAATTATTTATATTAAAATTCTAATTTTTCTTCATTTTTATTTTTTCCCCATAAATAATCTAATGGAGTATATTCTCAACTTGGAATCACCAGTTTTTTCTACATGGATTAGGTTTTAGAAAGAATGTATGAGGAAAAGGGTGAGAGAGAAAAGAAAAAGCTAATTAAGGTGTTGTTTTGATCTCTGGTATCTGCCAACTTTTAATCTTCATAATTTAGTTGTGAACTGGAAGAAAATGAAACTGAGAGGAAGAAAATGAAACAGGATAAAAGCAAAGACTGTGTTTTGCATAAATATGCAAATGCTACAAACTCTGGAGAAACAATTCCTGCCACGGACAGAGTTATAGTTGAACAACCCATCAAAGAAAGGCAGTTAATTTCTGACCCTCCATGAAAGAAAGTTAAGTGCTTATGCTACTGAAATACAGCAAAATCTCATCACACAGTTTATATCTTCTCCACAATTTTCACTCTTCCTCAATCCTATTAAATCTGTTACTGAGCCCCTCTTGCCAAATATTTGAGAATTTCCCATAATTTATATCCTACTTATGCAAGTAATTTCTATATCTTCTATGTTTCTCCCCTTTAGGAGCTCATGAGGTGAGTTAAATCAAGAGCTTAGGAAAAGAGAGCCGGCCTCCAAAAAGCTGAGTGGGAAGGGGTGTGTCTTCAGCAGAAGTAAAATGATTGAAGCCAAGGAGAAGAGAATGAGAGGCCCAGGAGGGCTCCAGTGTTATTTCAGCCCCAGTTAGGCACTATTATTTTCTACTTTAAGAGTAAAAGTGGTGGTGGCAGATCCTACTCAGACTGAAATAGTCCTGGAGCTTCTTGGGATTCATTTACTTGAGTGGAGAAAAACCCCACTCATGGGCTGCTCCATGCTGGCAGTTTCCTTCAAGTTCTATTCTTTAAGACAGGGAGAAAAGCTTTAGGAAGAAGTGCAAACTATTTATGCATATTCTTCTGGTAGCAGAATAGGTATTTTTCTTTCATCTTATATTTTTCCTTATTTGCAACACTATAATCCCCAGGAAATAAAAGATGATTTGTATTAAAACAACATATACCCTATTTATAGGTCTTTGTATGATCTGTCTTAAAGAAGGAAAGATATATTTGTATATGTGAAAGTACATACATACATACATATGAATATGAATATACACATACACACATACTTCCTTAGGTTTTCTATCTCAGTTCATACAAAATGTGTATGAACCATATGCCAAGAAGGTGGTAAAAAATGTGATTTTTATCTACACATTCCAAAATATCATATTGCAAACCTTTACAAAACATTCTAGGCTATGTCTACACAACCTAAGCAAAGTGAAGAGATACATACTATTTAAGGAACTTGGGTCTGCTCAATTATAAAGCAAAATTTTCTCGTTTCAACGATTCCACACATGCAGGTTGACTGGCCCCAGATTCTGAGACACTATTGTCCAGTTATTTTGTTATTAGGTTTACCAAAATATGAAGAGGCACAGCTTGTTTTTCAGAGAAATCTCAATATATTCTTGAGTTCGCCTGTAATTTTTATATTTATAGTGATCTAAGCAGTTGCCACTAAAATTCTGCGCAACTTCAGAATTACTTAGGTGATAAAAAGTCCCTTGGATGCTATTCTTTGTGGAGAAGTAGCATTCTTCTAATTTAGTTCAGTGAGGTAGTCTCTAAATGCAAGGCTTTCTGAGTATTTAGGTAGAGGCAGAATCCACGGTCAAATACAGGACCTCCTTATGGAAGTTAGCCTGAGCGTGCACAAGATGGAACAAATTCAAAAAGTTTCTGTCCTCTTCATCATGGTCTCCTATATGCCATTACACAGGAATGAACAGTGGGGGGGAAATGACAGTTGAGTTTTAAAACATATGACCTATTTAAAACATAAGATGTTCCAATTATCCTTAATAATATGTAACAGAAAACTAGTTAGTGATCTTTGCTAAGTCAGATGTTAAGCATTGAAATCATGGAATTTTATAAGAGAACTGAATTAGAAGTCAGAAGAAAAAGATGCTGGTCCATGTTTTATTGTTTCTAACTTTATGACCTAGGGCAAGTCAGATAATTTCTCTAAGCTTTAGTTTTCTCATCTGTAAAACAGGACTAATTGTCATGTTGGCTACCTAATAAAACTGTAAAACACATACATTAAAACTAAATAAATATAGGATATTATTATGATGATTACGGTAGTTGAACGAGCAAGTTAAAATTTTTTGCTCTGCATAATTGAAATTGGTTCCCTTAAGGACAGACTCCTCAATTTTGTTTTCCACTAAAATAAATACCCGATTAAAAAAGTGACAAAACCAGGAACTAAATCTATCTCATGGAAAAACAAACGAAATGTCTACTGCTTCCGTTCTCAGTTTAGAAGTAAAAGTCTACGCAGAGCTGTCCCTGTCCTAAGTGGAGGCTGGAACGCATCCTGTGCACACTGTGCACCACCTGCATGCGTACTTACCAGACATGACTGACTGCAGCATTTCCATTATAATACATGCAAATGCATTTGCCACATTCTGGAGGAAGTTATGTTTATCCGCTGACGTACTGAAGACTTTACAGAGTCTTTGCATTATTTTAACTGTCCAATCCATGCAGTATAGTTCTTTTTCACACACCTGATTTAGACATACAAAGCATTACGGTAAACCTTCATGTAAAGAAAGCTATAGAATTTGAAAATTGTATTAACTATGACAGTTTATGATTTTACATAATTTATTACATATGATACTGTATTGCGTGTATAAGTGGAAAATGTTTTTATATCTAACACTCCTTTGCTTTCAAATGTTACAATTTTAGTGGAAAATGTATAACATAAATAAAAGTCTGGTCACAATTATCATAAAATATTATTTTTTAAATTTATTTATTTTTCAACTATAGTTCACATTCAATATTATTATGTATTAATTTCAGATGCACATCATAGTGGCTGGAAAATCATGTCTTTTAGAGTGACCCCCCGGATGTTTCAAGCAGTCACCTGGCCCCACACATGGTTCCATGATGACGTCATCAGCTGTGTTCCCTGGGCTGTAATCTGCACCCTGTGGCTGTTCTGTGACTACCCATTTGTCCTTTTAATCCCTGCCCCCTTTTCACCCAGACCCCTAATCCCTCTCCCCTCTGACAACTGGTGGCCTGTCCTCTTATCATAGAATATTAATAGTGTAAGAACTAATATTGAAAATAATATTAAACATATGAAAAATAAGACTTCTGCTCATTTGCTCATTCAGTAGGTATTTACTGAGCACATGCTGAGAGCTGGAAGTACAATGGCAAGCCCTAAAGACAGTGCTTCTATTTTCAGGAAGTCCAATCAGGGTAACAGAAAAACAAGAAATTTCAATAGGCAAGAGAATTTTATAGTATTACCAACTTTCCATCTTGAGAGTTATAGAAAATATTTCTCTTATTTAAAAAAGAAATATTTAAAGAAAAGACTACATGTTAGTAGCTAAATCTGAAAAGAAAAGGTTTGTTTGCTAACATTCTAAATGGCCAATTTAGCTCACATAACTGAATAATATACAGCATGAAAATAAACTTTACAGTAGTGTAACTAAATAATGTTAACCTGACAGGAAAGATGTATTGACCTCTTACGTGTAAGGCATGGCACAAAGCACTATGAAAGAAGCAAGTGACCCAGTCCGGGATTTCAAAGAATTTACCATCTGTTTGGGGAGGTGACTTACTCCACACATAAAATGGCTTAAGAACACTATTAGTAAATGAAGATAAAGAGAAGACAAATCTGAGGCAACTTAGGGAAAATTAATGATCAGAGTTGAGATGATTATCAGGGAAGGATTTTGGGAGGCGGCTTCTTTGCCCCAGCAGCGTCCTCATCATTCTGGCTGCTATAGTGCTGCCAAAGTGACCTTTTACAAACCCCAAACTGGTCGTGCCTCTCCCCTTCCTGGAACTTCAGCAGCTCCCTATTGGGGGATGTGTTCAAGCTCCACAGATAGTCTATGTAAGACCCTTCACTACCTGGCCTCTCCCTTTCTGTCTAACCTCATCTTCTCCTCTTCTGCACATTTTACCCTTCAGAAATAATACTGGGCTGCTTATAGTTATGTGGATGTAGCCATGAGATTCCATTTCTCTTTTAGAGGAAATCTGCTTAATTATTAAAATAAATATTTGCCCCTGCTGGTGTGGCTCAGTAGATTGAGCACCAGCCTGCGAACCAAAAGGTCACAGGTTTGATTCCCGGTCAGGGCACGAGCCTGGGTTGTGGGTCAGGTCCCCAGTTGGGGGTGCAAGAGAGGCAACTTCACACTGATGTTTCTCTTCCCCCCCTTTTTCCCTCCTTTCCCCTCTCTCTAGAAGTAAATATATATTTAAAAAATAAAATAAACATTTATATTGAAAGTACAGTTAATTTAGTAGCTTTATTCACATTTCAAAAAGAGCCACCGAAGTTTCATTCATGTTTTAAGCAGTTGAGTTGGTAATGATCCCGCCTCCATTTCACAGGATATGGATCACATTCAATTATTCCTCACAACAGCCAACTGGAAGATTATTTCATTGCTTTTGAAGCACTGGTTGAGCTGGCATCCTCGATGATAGCATAATAAATTATTTGTCTTGTCCATCTGCCTGGGGAACTTCCGTTCATTTTTTAAAACGAATTGGGACTGGGAAAACCCCCTTTGTGCTCAACATTCACCCACATTGGTTCCTTCTCGCTACCTCTGTTTGTATCTTTTTGTACATATATTTTTACTCTTATCTCACTGAATTTATTTATATATACACCTTGGTATCTCTTAAAAGACTATAAAGCAGGGAATTTGGTCAGGGAATTGTCCTATTAATTTCCATAGTTCTAGAATCTCACACAATGTATGGCCCATAGTAAAAACTCAACTTGTGTAAAATGAATAAATATTAAAATATTTTTAAGTGTTTTTTTTTAAAAACACTTTAACTATAAAAGTGAAGCGAACAGTAGAATGAACCCCCTGTACCTACTTTCTAGCCTATCAGTCTTGATTCCCCTTCATCTCCATTCACCACATCCTCTCCGTGCTGTTCATTGATTATCCTGAAGCAAATCAAATGGAGTTCTTTGTTTTCTAACAGAATTTTTAAAAAAATAAAGAATATAACTTGGGCCCTGGCTGGGTAGCTCTGTTGTTTAAAGCATCATCCTGATACACCAGTCCCCTATGAGGGCACATACAAGAATGAACCAATGAATGCATAAGTAAGTGGAACAACAAACCGATGTCTCTCTCTAATTAATTTTAAAAATTAAATAACAATAAAAAAGAATAAAACTTGGCAGAGCTGTAAAATGATAATCTAGACATGAAGTGGAGAGAGAGTAATACAGGGAATAATTCCAAATATGATACTTTATTACATATATTGAAAAATTTTACAAGTATACATAAAATATATACTTATATACTTATTCTTTCAAAATGTTTTGTACATATTTCAGTTCCTTCAGGGCAGCTCCCTGGCCAGTCAACTATAATGTTAAACGACTCGTTAGAGAAAAACTCGTTTTTACTTACCAAAGCCAAAAAGACTATCAGTCTCGCCAGTTCAATGGTCCGTCCATTCACAGCTTTACTAGCCATGAAAGTGAAACAGATGTCGTTCCCACACAGGATTAGGAGACGTGCGTTATTTTCCAGAAGCCATTCACGAGGAACCACTTTTATTAGAGGAAGAACAGTTATTTAATGAGAAATTGCACAATAACTTGAGTAAACATCATTAATTATAAGCACTATTACATTATTTCATTGGAAATACAATTAGTGTCAAGGGAAGAGCTCAGAAAAATGCTTTAGTTTTTCAGTGACAGCTGAAGACAGAGAGCACTGCCGTGTCTCGGCGGGGCTTACGGACGTACTAGTGAAACAGTCAAAGCATTTTTCCTACACAGAGACCAACGAGCAAGGTGTCCTAATCCTATTGAAGGAAAGAAATCTTGAAAACTTCAGAATCTCAAGGATTATGCATAAATGGGAAAAATCGTTTCACCTCTGCCATACCATTAGGAAAGGGTTTCTTCTTATACAACCTAGGAGGGTATTTCTGAGAACTTACAAGATGAGAATAATTATGAAGCTTTCAAATAATAATAGTAATAAATATATATTTATAACATTCATAATTGAAGGAAAGTAAGTTAATTATATGCATTCTCTTCAAACATGCCAATTCTTTAAATATTTTAGAGCACTTAAAGATTTCAAATACACAAGTCATTTGTTACCTGTGGAATTACCCTTATAGTTTTATAACTGTATTCTAATAATAAATTTCTGTTACTCTGTGAGATAAATATATTATCTTACCTGATAGTTCATCTATAAGACTGATAACATCGTCTGCTGTCCACTCTTTGATGCCTGTGTCATGTAGTAAGTTAATGGCATCAGCCAAACCTTTCAGACTGGATTCATCTGCAGGTTCTTCTGTCATTTTCTGCCAAACCACTTGTCCTGAATAATTGAAACAAAAATTAGGTTATGACAGGATAGTTGGATTTGTGATAAAGACTTCATGGACTGTTTAAAAAGGAAATTGGATTGCATAATGGAATTCATCACTTATATATGCTACTTTCATAACGAAAGTCAATGTTAATAACAATATAAATTTGAATGTCTGACTGATATGATGAAGCACAGCAACAACAGCTAAATGAAGAAGAGGTAGTTTCACCAAGCACAGCTTCTGGTTCAAAGATAATGTTATGCCTAAAACAGAAGTTGGAATAAACAGTTAATGTAATCTTACTGAAATAAAATAGAACCTGAAAAAGAAAACATGCTGTATTTGAGGATCTTTCAAACATTTATACCAAAACAGAGTAATCTAGTCAATTTTTGATTATTTACCCACAACCAATTCTCTTTGTGAACTACACGACAAAATTTAATCGCAGATGGGCTTCTTGCTGCTATTCAACATACTTTAAACTGGTTACCTGCTGATATGAGGCAATGCAAACTAAAGAACTGCATGCTAATTTTAACATTAATCTAAAATTCATTAGAAATGCAAAAAATTGCACAAAAATCATATTACACACCCAAAATTAAGCAAAACATCAATTCCAATTACTACTTTGATTTACTGGCACTATTGGTCCCCTCCAGCAGCAAATATAATCTTGAATTAAGATAATGCTTAAAAATGAAAAGTAGCTATTTTAGGTAAACCAGACATTATAGGAATATACTTGGCAATGGCCTTCAGGGAACAATTTCTGTCTTGAAGCTTAAGTTATGCACAAATTAATGTAGTATAAATCTATGAAATTGGGAAACAGTTTAGTCATTAGGAATGATGAAACTTAGCAGGTACAAAAAGATAGGTTTCCTAGAGTAAAAGTAATTAACTTTGTTTTAACATATGTTGCTAAAAAATAGATGCTTACCATCTTGAGGAGATATTGGTCCAAAGATGATATACAGCAATCTTGCCTGATTCACCATTGGCCATGGCTTTAATATACATGTCAGCCAGAAAGCAGAATCGCTTCTTTCTGTCCAGTGATCAAGCAGAACATTCCTACAGAACAGTCTGATCCTTAACTCCAGTTTTCGGGCATTTCCTATGAAGACAGGAGACTTGTAAATCATTCTTTCTAGAAAGGGTGATGATGTGTATAGTGGACAGGTCAAAGACATACTTTATTAATATGCTTTGTATTGAAAGCATTACTTCATTTTCCTCTGTAAAAGTTTTAGATTATCAAGGAATTATTTTTAAACAGCTTTATTGAGATATAATTTATATGCCATTCACTTTGCCCATTTAAAGTGCACAATTCAAAGGTTTTTAGTATATTCACAGATATGTACAGCCATCTCCAAGTAAGTTTTAGAACATTCGTTCACCTCAAAAAGAAATCCTGCTCTTTCAGCTATCACTCCCCTATCCCTCCACTCTCAGTCAACCCCAGCCCTAAGCAACCAATAATCTACTTTCAGTCTCTACAGATTTCCCTGCTCTGGAGTTTTATATGAATGAATCATAGAATATGTGGCTTTTTGTGACTGGCTCCTTTCCCTTAGCATAATGTTTTCAGAGTTCATCTCCATTCTGGCATGTACCATTAGTACTTCGTTCATTTTTAGGGCTAAATAATCCTCCATTGTAGATATACCACATTTTGCTTACCCATTCGCCCACTGATGGACAGGTGGGTTGTTTCTACCTTTTGGCTATTCTTAATAATGCTACTATCAACATTCGTGTACAAGCTTCTGGGTGGACACGTGTTCTTATTTCTCTTGAGGATATACATAGGCATGAAATTGATGGGTCACATGTTAACTCTATATTTAGTCATTTGAAGAACTTGCCAGACTGTTTTCTAAAGTGGCTGAACAACTTTACATTTCCACCAGAAATGTATGAGGGTTCCGATTTCTCCACATTGTCACCAACACTTGTTTTCTGACTCTCAAAAATTATTTATTTATTTTTATTTTAAAATGTTTTATTTATTTATTTTCGGAGAGGGGAAGAGAAGGCGAGAGGGAGAGAAACATCAATGTATGGTTGCCTCCCATGTGTCCCCCACTGGGAACTGGCCTGCAACCCAGGCACGTACCCCGACCGGGAATCGAACCGTGATCCTCTGCTTCACAGGCCTGCGCTCAATCCACAGAGCTACACCAGCCAGGGCTAAAAGATTTTATTTATTTATTTTTAGAGAGAGGGAAGGGGAAAGAGACAGAGAGGGAGAGAAACATCAATATGTGGTTGCCTCTTGCATGCCCCCTACTGGGGACTTGGCCTGCAACCCAGGCATGTGCCCTGACTGGGAATCAAACTGGCAACCCTTTGCCTCACAGGCCAGTGCTCAATCCACTGAGCTACACCAGCCAGGGCTATTTACTAATTTTTAGAGAGGGGAGGAGAGGGATAAAGAGAAGGGGAGAGACATCAATGGGTGGTTGCCTCTTATGAGCCCCCTAGCAGGGACCTGGTCCACAACCCAGGCATGTGCCCTGACTGGGAATCAAACTGGTGATCCCTTGGTTTGCAGGCTGGTGCTCAATCTTCTGAACCACACCAGCCAGGGCTCATATTTTAATATGTTTAGAAATGGTTTCATATTGAAAGTATCATTTGGTAACCTTTTCTCTCAAATTACATTTTGAGATTTACCTATATTAACACGCTTGGCTCTTAGTTCATCTGCTTAAACTACTGAGGGTTTTAATTATATGAATATGCCACAGTTCGTTTATCCATCCTTCTGACAATGGGCACTTAGGTTGTTTCACTTTTCACCATTATAAGCTGCATTCCTCGTTCTTATACATGTCTCCTGGTGCAAACTGTGGGAGTTTTCCAGAGTGAAACTGCTGGGTTGTAGGGTGCCATAATTTTTTAAATATGAAATATTTCAGGCATGCCAAAGGTTTAAAGAATACTATCATGAACAACTTTGTATCCTCCACCATCTTAAGGAACATAATATTATTAGTACAGTTGAAGCCCTCTGAGTACTTCTCTTTCTCTAATTACGTGCTATTTGAGCCTCCTTATCCAATTCGGTGTTTATCATTCCCTTACATTTCTTTGTTCTTTTGCTATAAATGAATGCCACCATTTATTTTTAAATACACTTTTGAACTGTGCTTTTTTTTCTATTTTAATTTTCTGTATAATGTTACTTCTGAATTGTAGTTCTTTACCTGGTTTGCTGAAGACAGTGGTCTGCACCTTGCGGGAGAGGCTGGTCAGCTCGCATAAGAAGTTAAAAACACGATGGCACTCCAGTTCATCCCAACCTGCTGTTAAGATCTGAGAACAGTAAAATAAAGGGAACAATGCAGATGTTGAGACCATCAAATCAAAACATAAGTCACTACTGCTTTATGAACACATAGCTGTTACAGCACATGATCCGGGTGGTGTGTAATTTTATCCACTATGGAACTGTTGAAGTTAATCAGAAATTTTACATAAACAAAATATAGAAATGCTTCACATTCTATTTCTTTTTTTTAAGGAGTATGTCTTCGGAGAACTTCCAATGCTACTAAATCCTGAACTCTGACACTATGAAGAAAGTAATAAATCTTAGAACAGAGCTCTAGACATCTGACCCAGAAGGACACTATGGCTCACTTTTAGGTGAAAATCAAACCCTTCTGACCCCCTCTAGCTATCATTTATGATACTGCTTACAAATGATAAAGATTTCATTTAATATGACAATTTTTAAAGCATTTATAATATTTAGATATGAACAGAAAATTTTCATTAGGACAAAATTTAATAATTATTTTTTAGTAAAACCAAATTAAACAGTTAAACATACATGAAAAAAAATTCCAATGGTGTATCATTACACAATTGATGCTGGAACAACATAGGTTTGAACTGTTCAGGTCCACCTTTATGCAGATTTTTTTCCAACAAATATGTGCACTTGAAAAAAGAAAAGATGTTTTTCTTTTTCTTTTTTTAAGATTTTACTTATTTATTTTTAGAGAGAGGAAGAGAGAAAGAGAAACAGATATGTGAGAGATACATCAGTAGGTTGCCTCTAGCACGCCCCTCAACTGGGGACCTGGCCCGCAACCCAGGCACATGCCCTGCCTGAGAATCAAACCAGCGCCTTTTCCGTTCATAGGCCGGCACTCAACCCACTGAGTCACACCTGTGTACTGTTTTCACTGCAAAGTTGGGAGGACACAGAGGTGGAGAGCTGACTGTGTGCACTGATCTAAGCTATTTTATATAGGGAACTTGAGCATCCATGGATTTTGGTACCCATGTGGGGTCCTGGAGCCAATTCCCCTTGAATACCAAGAAACAACTTAAATTTGGAGGGAGTCAAAAGCTATACATAGATTTTCAACTGTAGGTAGGCACCGCTAACCCATGTTATTCAAGGGTCAACTGTAATTAGATTTTGAAAAAGTTGATCGATCACGTAAATTTTTCTTAAAATAGTTGACTGGATTTCAGTAGTATAAAAATTAATCTTATTATCTCTGAAAGAACATACAAGAAACCGCTAACAATAGTTAATTCTGTTGAAGGATACTTAGTGGACAAGGCTTTGGAGGGAGACTTACTTTTCACTTTATGTCATTTTGTACCTTTTGAAATTTACATGTGTTCATATTATATTACCTGTCCAAGATAGGTTTTTTCATTTCCTTGGGACAGGCTGGTAGGCTGGGATATAAGCAAGATTATTATAAGACTATTGTAGACCTGATAAGGTTGTTGTAAGTTTTAAATAAGCTAGTACATTGCTTAGAATAGTATATTAATAATATATTATTAATATTGAGTAACATTAAATTATAATGATAATGATATTATTATCTTCTTTGTTTACAGTAAAGGCTAGTCAAAATGTTCTTAAAATTATACAGCTGATTTTTTTCTTTTTTTCTAGTTCTATTAAGATTATCGCTGATATATAACATTGTGTAAATTAAATGTATACAATGTAGTAGTTTTATATCATACATACTGCAAATTAATTACAATAAGGTTAGTTACATCTATCACCTCCCACAGTTATAATTTTTTTCATACAGTTGATTTCTAAAGTCACATCTTAAATAAATAGCCCAAGACTTAAAAATTCATGATACACACACATGCACACACACACACACACACACACACACTCCTCACCTAACACTATTTCTAGTCTTTACAATAGTGGCTAGAAACTGATGACCTTGGTAAAGAATTATGTAACATTTCTTACCAGTGAGAAATCCAAGAAGAAAATCTGAGGTAGCAAACATTATTAGATTAACACATTCTCAAATCTTTACAATTTTATTTTGTTCTTTTTTTTAGATTATTATTACTTTTTTTAACCCATGGAATAATACATTACATGCTCTACTTGTCAACAGTTCAAAAATATTTCTTTTCTTCTTTCATTAAAAAATATGTACATGCCCTGGCTGGTGTGGCTCAGTGGATTGAGCACTGGCTTGTGAACCAAAGGATCTCCGGTTTGATTCCCAGTCAGGGCAGATGCCTGGGTTGCAGGCCAGGTCCCCAGTAGGGGACACATGAGAGGCAACCACACATTGGTGTTTCTCTCCCTCTCTTTCTCCCACCCTTCCCCTCTGTCTGAAAATAAATAAAACCTTTAATAAAAAAATGTACCTGTAAAAACATGCCATAACATGATAATCCTAAACATTGCATTGGAGCTGCACAGCCATTGAATTTAAAACAGGAAACCTGTAAAGAGAACAACTATTAATTCATCCTTTTCAGTGGAACTGTAAAACGATTTGACATTCAAATTTAATGGAACTATGTAAGCATTTTTTCCAGTCTTAACTGAAAGTAACTAAGGTGTTAAATAACTGATTAGCATTGGTATATAGGCAGGGATTACAAAAGATAAAAAGCAGGCCCTGACCGGTGTTACTGAGTGGACTGAGTGCTGGCCCGCGGCCTGCGCAGTGAAAGGTTCTCCTTTGGGGTTTCCAATCAGAGCACGTGCCTGGGTTGCAGGACAGGTCCCCAGTTAGGGGTGTGTGAGAGGCAACCAGTCATCATTTCTCTCACTCACGGATGTTTCTCTCCTTCTCTTTCTCCCTACCTTACCCTCTCTCTGAGAATAAATAAAATCTTTACACTTGATCTTTGTCAAAAGGCTGAGAAGCGATAACATAAACTCTTTATTAAAAAGAAAGAAAAAACAAAGACTGCCTTTAAGGAGCTCACATTTTATTTTTTAAGATTTTATTTATTTTTAGACACAGGGGAAGCGGGGGTTAAAGAGAGGGAGAGAAACATCAATGTATGGTTTCCTCTTGCACACCCACCACCAGGGACCAGACCCACAACCCAGGCTTGTGCCTTGACTGGGAATCAAACTGGTGACCCTTTGGTTCACAGGCTGGTTCTCAATCCACCAAGCCACACCAGCCAGGGCAAGGAGCTCACAATTTATTTAGGAGAATAAGATACACACATGTGAAGTTATTTTGATAATTCAGGTTAGAATATTTATAAATGATAAAATGACTGAAAAATATGATAACGGACACTATAAAAGCAGGGAAATGATAAATTTGGGAATGATTTTAAAAGCTTATGAAGGATGTGAAACAGGCAATGTCTTAAAGTAGCATTCAAATATATAACAAATGGAAAGGATTGGTGAGAGAATCGATAAGGGCAAAATTGTATAGGAGTAGGAATAAAACAGTTTATTTGGGAAGAAAGATATAACCAACTTAACTAGGTTGAAAGTAATAGGAAGTACAGTTGCATTGTTAGGAAGACCCCTAAATACCAGCTACGGACTTTGGAATTTGTCTTGTTGAATTGAGTAGCCACTGAAAGATTTTTAAGCAAGTGATGCTGTAGGAAGAACAACTTTGATTCAGTGTGCAGAATGTGTTGGGGATAGAAGATACTGGATGGCATAGAGATCATCTGGGAAGCTGCTGCAAGAATATAGACCTGAATTCAATGCAAATACTGAAATGAAAAAGCCAGTGCTTCAGAAATAGTTTGCATACTACTGATTGTAGAACTGAGCCATCGGCATTGCATGTATATTTGGGTTTGTAGAGTAAAACTCATTTTCTTCCATAGACATTATGCCCAACAGATTAATATATATATCCAAGTAATAAATTATCATAAAAGGGTTGTCATTTTATATATTAAAATATTTTCTGATGTTTCTGTATATTTAAACAGTAAGGTTTTAACATTCAGAAAGTATTTCATTTTAATAAAACAACTAAAAATCACTACTTTATTTATTAATTATTATTTTTAAGATTTAACTTACTTATCTTTAGAGGGGAAGGGAAGGAGAGAGGGAGAGAAATATCAGTGTATGGTTGCCTCTTGTGCATCTCCTGCTGGGAACTGGCCTGTAACCCAGGCATGTGCTCTGACTGGGAATCAAACCATGATCCTCTGGTTCACAGGCCCATGCTTAATCCACTGAGCCACACCAGCCAGGCCTACATCACTACTTTAAAACATCCTCATGATTCCCACGTGGAGTAAAAATACTTTTATACTCAAATAAACCTAATAAACTTAAACGATGTACTGTACTTAGTTATACATAAAATTATTTTATAATAAGTAAAGGACTATACTACATTTTGGTGTTTTATAATCTTCAAGTACTTGGTAAAATATTAAATTATCATTAATCAGTTTAATACTAATTCATGAAGTTCTACTAATTAAGGATAGATTTTAAATGAGTATAAAACAATGATAAAATATCTTCACTAGAAATCAAGATTGTGAACTAATTCAAAAGTATGTAAGCCCTGGCTGGTGTAGCTTAGTGGATTGAGCGCGGGCCTGCAAACCAGACAATCTCGGTTTGATTCCCAGTCAGGGCACATACCTGGGTTGCAGACCAGTTCCCTGCAGGCTAGTTCCCAGCAAGGGACCCACGAAAGGCAACCATACATTGATGTTTCTCTCCCTCTCTCCTTCCCTTCCCCTCTAAAGATAAATAAATAAAATATTTTTTTAAAAAAGTATGTCAAGGTTGCAGTTCAATCCTCAGGGCACATATAAGAATCAACCAAGGGGCAGAAAACTGTCCTTGAACAATTAAAATAAAATAAATTAAAAATAAACCACCACTCAAAAAAAAGAATCAACCAAGAAATGCATAAATAAGTGAAACATCAAATCGATGTTTCTAAAAAATCAATAAATTAAAAAAAAGAAGTATGATCTTACTTCCGCAAGTATCTTGTGGATGTACTTTAGTCTTTCCTTTGTGGGTAGCAGCAATGTACATCTTTTAAATAGTAAACCTGAGAAAGTGAAAAATAAAACAAAACAAAAACAACAACATGAAAAAAAGGTGACAGTGCAAACAATTAAAAAGTATCTATACAGCACAGCATAATGTTTCCTGAAAGTGAAGTACGGTATGCTGTAGTGGGCTGTGAGCTGATGTGGTTTGTAAGAGAAAGTTTGGGAGGAAGGTTGTAAAACATTTATATGTTGATGACCAAGTGGCTTTGATGTTTACCTAAGAGGCACTGGCATAACATTTTATAAGATATTGTGAAATTGATACTATAGGATATGGAAAAGTTTTAAATTATTTAGATTTAAAAAGATACAATAACAACACATTAAATACACTAGGGAAACTTTATATTGTCTTTATTCCATGGAAAACATATTTCAGTCTCTCTTGAAATTAATCTCATGCCCACAAAGAAAAACGTTTTGAATTGTTAGCGCAAGACATAGAAAGAACGGGAAAAGAGATTTTGTATTCTTTTCAGAAAATAAAAAACATTTTAAGTCACAAATCTTTAAAATTCCAGAGATTTTAAGTCATTTTTGCTCGCAGAAAATGTCCAGTTTGGATTAATTATCTATTTCTCTCTACAAATATATCCTTTTATGGAGCTTACATGATAAGAATGTATAGAATTTCGTGTTCAGATATTTAAAAAAGAAACAAAATCCCTTCCATTTCCCAGTGAGATATGTAATTTCAATTACAGTGACAGGAAGTGAATGATTTATTTCCTCTAACTTTAAATGGTCTGTTTTCCTAAAATGGTAATACTTTGTTAACATTCCCATGAGGGCAAATGTCCTCAAATTAAAAGTAAGATATACAGCCCTGGCTGGTGTAGCTCAGTGGATTGAGCTCGGGCCTGCGAACCAGACAATCGTGGTTCGATTCCCAGTTAGGGCACATGCCTGGGTTGCAGGCTGCTTCCCTGCAGGCCGGTTCCCAGCAGGGGATGCGCAAAGGGCAACCATACATTGATGTTTCTCTCCCTTTCTCCTTCCCTTCCTCTAAAAGATGAATAAATAAATTTTTAAAAAAAGTAAGATATAAAGCAGGAATATCATTCCTGCATGGAATACCTGCATATCATTACTTTCTTCAGTTTTCATCTTCTCTGCATTTACTTTTTAACATAATATAAATATTACTTTATATACTTCTATAGAATATATGGGAATCTAATTTATTTTTAGAAGTTGTTATGTTTGGGTAACATATGACCAGAATTAAGTCTTAAACATAAACCCTCCCTATTCTTGTACATAAAAAGACATTTTCAGTGTTCAGCTTTTAGGCTGAGTTCTTTTCCTTTCGTGCTTTGGCATCTAGTCCCATGGCATGTCATAGCTGGGGAACTGTAAGCTAAAATTGTGTCAGTTACCTTTTCTAATGTAAAACTTCTATTTTTAAGGGTTGCAATTCAACATAAAAACCAATACTGGCTGACTTTTTTTTTTTAAACACAGGTGCTCTGCAGTACTTTCTAGAGACAAACTTCTTTCATTTCTTTTTACTAAAATAGAGTCAGATGTAATGTTCTTTCCACACTAGCCATCTGCTCTGTTTTTGTGTGAAGGAGCAAATTAAAATTTATAATACTCAAAGATCAGAATTCTGAAAATGTTATTTTAATGTCTGAAAATAAGAACAGATCAGACAGGAATAGCAACAGGAGAAAATGGTAAATACATCAAACATTTACCAAAAGAATCAGTCATAAGCCAGGTGTCTGCATCAAAATTAAATGTAAGGTTGAAATCATTGCATGAATAAATCTGTTTTAAAAAGCTAGCTATTAAGATCAATACACATTTGTACTTTTAACTTACTTATCCATATAATTGTCTTAAGGCTTTTTTTGTTTGTTTAAGCAATTGAGTCTTGGTCAGGGAGAGAAAATTCTTTCAGATCAAAGCCAAAGAATAAGCACTTTTACCCAATCAACTACCATTTCCTCTGCACCTAATAATGTTTGCAAAAAATACTTATAATAACAAGTAGCAAAAAGTAATTGCACATTCTGTTACAGACTTTACTAAGCCTAATTCAATACTGAAGCCAATAACATTATAATCAAATTACATACCTTTAATTTAGTCTTATAAAATATACTTGTCAATACAGTTCTAAATATTTACACATCTATATTGTCTTATTTTATTATCTTAAAGCTAGGCATTCTTTGGCTACGAAAAGATAAAAGTTAGTTAACTTTGTATGTTTTTATTTAAATCTCAACATCACTTTGATATTTGGTTTTATTGTAATGTTTTGTTTAATTATAAGGTGACTTCTAATTTAATTGGTGTCATTAGTCAAGTCAAGATTAGAATTTTGTTTCAGCACTCTTAGGGAGAATAAAATCAATAAAAGGGGCTAAAGATGAATACAAATCAAGGGGGAAAGATCATAGAAATTTCCCTTGATAAGGTTAATTTTATCGCAACATAATGATTTGTTAGTAAATGTATACAGCACTTAAAAAAAAACACTGTTTCTGACAAAAGAATAAGTGATCTTCCACAATAATGTGTTTAAATTTCTGTGTTAAGGCCCAGATTATGGTTGAAAAGGAAAAGAAGTATCAGATAAAACTCATCAGATCCATAGAAAATACATCGATTTCCTAAACTGGTAAGCCACCTAGAAAATATGCATACGTGACATTGTATCCACAAAACATCACAAGGGCTCACACTTTCTACATTAAATTGCATTCCCTCATCTTTAAACTTAAGTGTAAGGAAATGTTGTTAAGGGAAAGTCCTCACACTGAAGAGTAAGAGCACCATAGAAATAGGCACATATTAGAAAATACTCAAAAGGACAGCTAGATCAGGAGTGGAAACATAGAAATGAAGATCTCAAGGAGGGTTAGCAACAGGGGAGTGGGAGGAGGAGAAGGGGGGAGAAGGTACAGAAAATAAGTAGCATAGACAGTAGATAGAAAATAGAAGGGGGGGCAAAAATAGCATGGGAAGTATAGAATCTAAAGGACTTGAGACACATGGTCATAAACTAAAGGGGGGGTAATGGTGGGGATGGGGGAGTAGGGTGGAGGGGAATGAAAGGGGGAATAGAACAACTGTAACAGCATAATCAATAAAAAATTTTTTAAAAAAAAGAAAATACTCTATTTCCCATGAGTCTTACAGAACTGTATGATAAAATCCCCTTAACTAAGTATGTTTCTTTTCTCATTACAATTTTACTACATAAATTACCTAGAGATCTGTAGTGTTCCAGTATAGCAGAGTCTTGTCTCTCGCCAGGTAGCTCAAGGTTATGAAAGTCCTGTAGTAAAAGCCTTTTGCTTCCTGATGCGGTTGAGATATAATTAATAATGTGCTGGCTGAATGTTTTGGACACCATGCTTAGTATGCTGATATCCTTCACTACCAAAGGAAAAATACATACATGTGTGTGAATGGCTTAAATACAAGAACGTCACTGTTAGTACAGTGTAAAAACTTATGCTAGCTCACTAATAATATTATAGAATAGTAAAAATAAAGAGGGAAATCTAAAATTGTTTTAAACCCAGTGCTCACTAAACTAGAAATATTTTGGGATGTAACCCTCATACTACCATGTCACTGTAATGAGAAGCATGCTTAAAGAGTTTAAGTATTCTCCTTTTTCATTGTATCTCTTACCTAACAACAATACAGCTTTATAAAATAAACTTAATATGAACACTATTAATTCTAGCGGGGGCAAAGATGACAAACTAGTTCTTGGGAAAAATAAGAATATTTGAGTGTCTACGTAGCCTGCTCATAGTCCCCAAACCTCACCTGACAAATATCTTAAGATTATTTGAAATACTTCCAATGGCAAGGCTCTAAAATCTCCAAGCATTGATAAGGGCCCAGAATCTGAGGAAAGAGTGCTGGAAACACAGCTGGGCCGTCGATTACTACGTCTGTATTTCTGGTTGGGGATCAAAGTGAAACTGGTATTTATTCTAGATGCCATCCTTCTTCTTATCTTGTGAATTTATCCTGGTTAGAACAACATAAGTACAAGAGACAAAAAAAGAAAAAAAAAGACAGGACATTATGGTGATGAAGAGATGGGTTTTTTAGTTGTTTGTTTTTAATGAAGACATTGATATTTTCATGGAAAATAGTTGTCCCTCTATATTTACAAAACTTTTAATATGGTGTCCAATTTATGGAGTTCCCACTGGTAGAGTCTATTATTCATCTCAGCATGATATGAAATATTTAAAAATATTTTCCTTCTTAGCCAAATATTCTAGATAAAGAGTTTTAGTAGAAAATGGGAATGCATTTGGGTAAAATACATTCTAAGAAAAGAAATATGCAAAATTTTACATATATAAAAAAATTTACAAAAGAAACCAATATAACAGATTCAACATATTCAGTGTAGCTTTAAAATTTCATAGTAATGTTTTTCGATTTCCCTAAAACTGAACACTGACGTCTTTTGTCAGAAACAATGAAAACAAAAGGATAAAAAATAGAGACTTTCATTTCAGAGACTTCAAACAGTGAAATGAAAGACTTATCAAATCAATGAGTTGAGTAAATAAATAAACAATAAATTTCCCTCAGTTTCACCTTTGGTGCATAATAGTTACTGATAAGTCTCAGGAAGGGCTTCCATAACTTGATTTCGAAATGAACATTTCCTAAAGAAAACTTACTAAAGTCACTGATAATTTGCTTATACTAAAGTTAAAAAAAATTTATTCGTCACATACAGTGACATTGTCACTATGGCCCCAACCCAGAAAACACCACCTGACCTTGTATATGCACGTGCACAGGCAAATACGATGTACGTGCACGTGCAATGTACACGTAATGCACGAGCGTGCGTGGGGACCATGAGTCCTGGCTGAAGCTCCTCCTTTACAAAGTAACAACTGAGTTGTTTCATCTCAGAGTTACAAGTGTATCTGACCAAAATGCATTTTCTCCTTTTGTCAGAAAATTGCTAAAATCATTGTTACGTATTTATCCTAAAAGGTTACATATCATCTCATGTCAACTTAAAATCAGTTACACACTTAAACACAGGGCCCAGAAATTTGGTGCGTAGTGAAAAACATCCTCTAAGACCATGCACACCAAGGCACTTTGCTTTAGCATTCAATAGCCATTTAAATGAGCAGATACTTTAAAAATAATCACTGAACTTATACAAGTAACATGTGCCTTGTCAAAATGTTTACAATACAGCAAAAACAAAACAAAGATTAAATTTGCCACTAAACACTTTGGTTTAGAGAATGCCAGAATTTCATGCTTATATATATTTTAACAACAACAACAAAAAGGGTGGGGGAGCGTGGGGGGGTCCCTGTCCACAGTATTTTGTAACCTTTTTCAATTATAGTCACAACTGAAATCTCTTTCACTGCTAACAGACACGCTTCTACAGGTCATGTATTTTTCAGGGCTGCATATGATTCCAAATGGAAGAACAAACGGAAGAACCTTAATTTATTTAATCCATAAAGTTGTCAGGTTTTCCCCCCTGCTCCCAGTAGGCATTTTACAGCATTAGCATTGTGATCAAACACAAATCTGGACCAGGACTTGCTTCTCTGAAGACCTTGCTGGTTCTTTGGGGACCCAGGGCCCCTGCTGCCCAGGGACCTCCCCCGTGGCGACCGGTGAAAAAATACACAGAATTCAAACCTTTGAGAGCGTTAACACACAAAGCCCAGGTTCTTCTAAAGAAAGCCTCTTTTCACGACTTTACTTTTTCCTCTCAGGCCTGAACGTTTCTGGGGAGCTAGCAGACTTTTTGGGGGAAATTTAAAGGTGTAAACCCAAATTACTGGTTCCCTCTCAGCCCTCTGGAGAATGATCATCACCGACCCAAATCACAGAACTACAGGGTTTTCGAGCCGCCGATCCCTCCCACGCACTCTGACTATTTGGGAAAGACTTCGAGCGCCCCCTTGGGTGAACTTGTACCTCCCCTTCCCGGAAAAAACCGTCCGCCAGCAACTCACCGGGACTTCGATTTTGTTTGAACTTTTAAGAAAACCCTTTTGAGGAGACCCACCCCATCTGCTCGTTAGCTCAAAACATGTCCGAAGAGGTAACCAAGGGAGGGCAGAGCAGAGAGACTGGCCGATAGGAGACTCAAACCACCCTGGGATGCATTTTTTACCCCTTCACTCCGTCAGAAGTTGAAACTACCTCGAGAAAGCAGTGGGGAAACAAATTTCTTTTTACCACAGATTTTGACAGTTTTCCGGCTAAAGGATCACAGGAAGATGGGCTCTAGTCGTTTTGCCCCACCATCCTCAAGTTTCTTTTGTTTTGTTCACAAAACAAAAAAGTCGCCTCAAGGGTTTCCCTCCGGAGAGAGAGAGAAGGTCCGCCTCCGCTCCGCTCCGCTCCGCTCCGGAGCGGCGCTCCAGCTTCCCAGGAGCCCCAGAGGCCTCGAGAAGATCTTAGAATCCTCCCAGGAGCCCCAGCGGGAAGGAGGCCCCGCCCCTTCATGAATAATAAGAAGCTCCGGCTCCCATAGTGCCCTCCTCCGTCATGAATAATTAACAACGAGGAGATCTTGGAGCCCCAGGCCAAAAGCCGTTCTTTGCTCCAAGCCAAAGACAAGAAGGGGTGGAGCCACTGGGGAGGGGTGGAGCCACTAGAGAATCTGGGGGGAGGGGAGGGTACAAAGGAAGAGCCCCAATCGAGCGAGTCATGTATCTGCTCTGAACCACTTCCTTTTCTTTTGAACCTAGTTTTGAGTTTATTTTTTATTTCCCTCACCCCTCCACCCGCAATAGTATAAATTACAAGAGCTTTCATCAAAACTTCTGTTGGAAAACAACCTCCAAAGATTCCCTTTGTAACCTGTCTGGGTGCCTGGAATCAAAGAAAGTTGAGGGCCTCCAGCCTCTCAAGATGGAGTCCAAGACAAATCTTTCTCAGTTGGCACTCCTCCCTTGAACATTAAGTTCTCATTAATTTATTCACTCATTCAGTAGCTAGTTACTGAAGCCTGCTCTGCGCCAGTCACTGGGGTAGGTCGTAAGGCTACAACAGAGAGCAGGACACACAAAGTTTCCTGCCTTGATGGAGTTTGATATTTTAATGGGCAAAATAGCAGAATAAACAGGCAACATAAACTACAGCTAGAGAGCAATGCTATGGAGGAAATGAGGTAACAGAAAATAAGGGAAGGGCGGGCACCTGTGCCTACTTTAAATACACAGGTCTGGAAGGTCCCTCTGAAGAGGTTGCATTTAATCTGAAAATTAATAGATGGGAAGGAGCCTGTCAGGATAAGGATTGGGGAGCAGGGGGAGGGAACAGCGGGAAAGATTTCGGTATGTACAGACAAGGAATTTGCAAGGCTGGCTGGCTGAGTTTAGTAAGCAAGTAGGAGAGTGGCAGCATGGAGACCATGGAGAGGTGGGCACAGACAGCCTAAAAGAGGGGCGTTTTAGAAGCCCTGTAGGCTCTATATACTAATGCTTTTAGGGACCCACTTCATATTCTATTCAACAAAATACCACATACCCACGTAGTACTCTTTATTTTATTTAAGATTTTATTTACTTTTAGAGAGAGGAGAAGGGAGGAAGAAAGAGAGGGAGAGAAACATCAATGTGTGGTTGCCTCTTGCATGCCCCCTACTGGGGACCTGGCTCACAACCCAGGCATGTGCCCTGACTGGGAATTGAACTGGCGACCTTTTGGTTTGCAGGCCAGCACTCAATCCACTTGGCCACACTAGCCAGAGCTGAATATTTTTAAATGAGTATCATCATAAACTGAAAGATGGTAATAAATAAATGTACTCAAATGTTTAAGCCAGTTCATAGCTCTGTTGGGATATGATGAAGCAGAAGGAGCAAATAGCACAGCTGTGAGTGGGTATTACCTCCTTTCATAACCTTTTTACAAAAGAAGCCCTCCCCCAAGATTAGTGTTCAGAATGGTTTGGGATTCTGATTTTATGAACCCTTAGACAGTCTCCAGCTCCAGGCAGCTCTACGAGAAAACCCTGAGGTAATATGAATTAGGATATGAAGGAAATGGCCTTTGGCTTCTACCCTCTAAAGCCAGCTCAGACCCAACTAGCAATAAATTTAATCCCATATTTTATATCTTATGATTGAATCAGTTGGGCTTCACTTTGAGCATTATGATGGGAACTCTGGAAAATGGTTTTAATTTTTTTTTAATTAAGGCAAATGAGCTACAGACTGGGAGCAAATACTTGCCAGAAACATCTGATAAAGAGCTGTAATTTAAACTATACAAAGAACTCTTAAAACTCAACTCTAAGAAAATGAACAAGCAACGAGCAAAAGACCTGAACAGACACCTCATCAAAGGAGATACACAGATGGCAAATAAGCATATGAAAAGATGCTCCACATAATATGTCATCAGGGAATTGCAAATTTGAACAACAACGAGATCTCATTACACACCTATTAGAAGGGCCAAAATCCAAAACACTGATAATACCAAATGCTGGTGAGGATGTGGAACGATAGAAACTGTCATTCACTGCCAGTGAAAATGCGAAATAGTACAGGCACTTTGGAAGACAGTTTGGAGATTTCTTACAAAACATTTACCCAAAGGAGTTGAAAACTAATGTCCACACAATTACCTGCACGTGGATGTTTATATCAGCTTTATTCACAATTGCCAAAACTCGGAAGCAACCAAGATATCTGCCAGTAAGTGATTAGATTAATAAACTGTGGTACATCCAGATGAATATTATTCAGTGCTAACAAGAAATGAACTATTAAGCCATGAAAAGACATGGAGGGATTTTAAATGCATGTTACTAAGTGAAAGAAGCCAATCTGAGAAGGCTACATACGGTTATGATTCCAACTACAAGACATGTGAAAGAGGAAAGACTATGGAGACAGTAAAGAGATCAGTGGTTGCCAGGGGCTTCGGAAGAGGGAGGAATGAATAGGCAGAACACAGAGGATTTGTAGGGCAGTGAAACAATTCTGCATGATACTATGATGCTGGATATATCTCATCATACATTTGTCAAAACCCATAGAATGTACAATGCCAAAAGTGAGCCCTGATGTAAACTACAGACTCGGGGAGCCAACGATGTGTTTATACACATCAATTTTAACAAATGTACCACTCTGTGGGGTATGTTGATGTGGGGGGGGGTAGTTGTGCCTGTGTGGGGGCAGGGAGCAAAACATCTCTGTACCTTCCACTCAATTTTGCTGTGAACCTAAAACTGCTCTAAAAAATAAAGTCAATATGTAAAAAAAAAAAATAAGGCCAGCACTTAGCTTTAATTTAGGAAAAATATTTTTCTAATTAAAAATCTAGACTTTCTGCCCTGGCTCAGTGGGTTGAGCACTGGCCTGCAAACCAAAGGGTTGCTGGTTCAATTCCCAGTCAGGGCACATGCCTGGGTAGCAGGCCAGGTCCTGAGTGGGGGTGCATGAGAGGCAACCACACATTGGTTTATCTCTCCCTCTCTTTCTCTTTCCCTTCCCCTCTCTCTAAAAATAAAAGTAAGCAAAACCTTTAAAAAATCTAGACTTTCTAGACATAAAGCAATTAGGTTTTTAAAAAGAATACGTGCGTGCATACCAGGTTGTGTGTGTCTGTGTGAAAGCAGACGGGCATTATATCCTTGTCGTCTCAAAACACAAAAATGAAATGTTTCAGAAATCTTCAAAAGATACTTTAAAAAATTCTTTTGTTCTATTAAATACTTATTAGCAGACCTCATGAACAGGGCCCTAATAGCAATGAAAGCCAATTCTGTACGGGAAGGCTTGGCAGGACAGTCGTTACAAAGCACGGGACAAGTATGACTAATACCCTCCCCCGTGGGGTAAATTGTGAAGAAATTAATTTCCAGAGAGTCAAAGTTGAGGCTTGACTCATTTGGAATTCTTTACCAATTGAAAACACTGAAACTGGGAAAACTCGGAAAACTATAATTCTTCTTAATTGACTGGAATCACTAAGCAAACAAACCTAAGGATCAAGGGGATTGACTGTGGTTACTAAAAGAACGCTTGTCAAGCGGAAATAGGTGTTGTGATTCTTCCAGCAGGTGGCGGCAGAGAGCTGTATAACATTAAATATGTTTTCTCCCTTGAGGTGTGGAAACCCTTAACCTGAGAGGGAACTGGAAAACACTTCGGCTGTCCCAGAACACCCGCGGTTTGCAGATGAAGAAACTGTAAATCCGAAGAGCTTACCCGAACTTCCTAAGGTAAAACTCTTCACCGAAGTAAATTCTTTGAAACGTGTCTGGTTATGCAAATTTCACTTACGATCACATTACACTCGAGGCAAACAAATTTAATTAGATATGAAAATATAATATTTGGTATAAAACATTGTTATGCTAGAATAGCCTTTGAAATATTTTCAGAACTCTTCCCCTATTTTTACTAAAACCTTTATTTTAAAGAGGCCATCTGAAAGCTTTCTGGTGGGGATGTATGCTGCCGGCGAAAAAAAAGTACAAGTTCAGGGATGCAAGTCTGAATTTGGTTCTTCATTTCATCTCTGCGGTCACACCTTGAATATATTACTCAAGCTTTGTGTTCACTGTCAAGTGCAGTGATAATATATATCCCATAGGTTTGCTGCTAGGCGTAAACAATACCACATTTGTCATGCTCTTGTCTCATATACAGCAGACACTTGATAAGTGTCATTTCCTTTTTCCACTCACTCTGGGGGAACACAGAGGTGGACGAGCTGGCTATTTCCATTAATAGAGCTACCAAATCAAATACAGGACACCCATGTAAATGTTCATTTCAGGTAAACAACTCATCCTTTTTTTTTAGTGCAAGTATGTCCAAAATTTTGCAGAGACATACACTAAAAACTTACTTGTCTATTTAAAATTAAAATTTAAGTAGGTGTTCTCCATTTTTCTTTGCTAAATCTGGCAACCTAAGTTTTTAAAAGTTTCTGATTCATTACAGAATGAGGAAACATCAAAGCAGTGTTATAAAATTAGCGATAGATTTTTAAAATATTTATACTTAAAACATTAGAATGCCAAACTAAGAAATACATAGCAATATAATTGCTGGTCACAAAAGATGATAGGACTTATAACAAATATTAACTTTCAGGGCAATATAGAAACTGTGGTCTGGTATTGGGACATATGCTTAAAGCTGCAGAGCAGATGTCTTCACAGAGTCTTGTTTACGGTCTTTGCTAGTGTTTTTTCGTTTGGAGATGAGGCCAAGGATCTAAATTTGAGGTCCTTTGAACTGAGGGCTCTGCCAATTGGCCCTCTGATCCCCCGTGATAAGCTCTATTCACTTTCTGTTCTAACAGTAGAGATACTTGGTACTTTACCCCAGAAAAATGTTTCCTTTGTCAAATACGACGGGATCATTTATCTGGTTGTATTTTCTGTATTGTTCCTGA